TGGAAGATGAGCATCGAAAGATTGGCCAAGAAATCGATCAGCGGTTTGCAGTCATCAAGCCGTTGGGATGTTTTGGAAACAACAAGCCGGCGGCAATTGTACGACGTTCCGCCCGCAATAGACCACCAGCTATCCAAACAGTATCTGAAATGGCAAGGCATACGACAGACGCGGAGAAAACTCTGTATCGCGTGGGCGGATTGCCGCATGATGCAGATGCGGCAAGTCCAAAACGAATCAAGGTGCCGCTCCAATGCAGCCGTTGATCTGTTCGGATCAATTGGCGTATTCCGCGTGCACCTAACGCGTAAGGATGCGGTTGTCCGCACCTAGTCGTTGGGCTGCCTCTCAGGGCTGATGCACCAATGTGGTGGCAGTGCTGTCGAAAGGGAGGGACAACGGCCAAATACTACCCTGGCATGTTCCGTTGCATCTACGAATATTGCAACAGCGTTTTAACGTTTTACCGGCAGCTCTAAGCGACATGGAATCATTGTTTTTGAGCGGACTTGCATTTGTGATGGCCAATCAACTACGGCCCTCTGATCCAGGGTTCAGGTGGAAGGAGGCTCATTGCCCGACAACCTGAAATGCACATGGCGAAATGAGTTTGACGATGGATGAAAAGCAGGCGATGGCACAAATGAGAAGACGCAGGCCTGGGGCCATGCGTCTGTGGATGCGCTACTTTCTGACTGGGCTTGAGATCCCTGCCGACAACCCAGTCACGGATGAGCTACACGACTGCCAGAGTTTGGTAATGGAATGGAGTACAAACAGGAGGAGATTCATGGCAGAAAAAGCCCAGGCGTTGTCTTTAGAGGTTAGCACTTCAGCTAATGCTCCCCAGCAAGCGAGCGAGGATGTCGGCAAGTGAAATGGGGAGGACAAAGGCTTCACTTCGTATACATATTAGCTGGCACAGCTTGATGCTGATGTCGCATGCATCATCTTATGGGTCACGGTACAAAATGGTTCAATCATGGTAACGGTCACGGTTCACGGCGCGGCATTGGCACACATAGCATTGTTTATTATTTGAGATTTCAGCTTAGGGACATATCAGACTCGGTCATGTAGATATAAAGTAGTCTGAGAACATAAAAATTGCAGTTCGAATTCTTAATACCTCAGTCATCTGTGTTGTGTTCTGTTCTGTTCAACCCTTGTGATGCGATGCACCAGCCAGTTGCAGTTTGTGAAACATAGCGTACCCAACACAAAGGTTGCGGCCGTTACAGGGACTAGGAAAAGACGGCACATACAATTTCTTTGTAAGGCTTAGTTTGAAAGATCTACGAGGCCTTTGCAAAGGCATTCATCAAGCCTGAACATCAGAATTAAATACAGAGTTGCCGCGGGCACCGGCAATTCCATTATCAGACAAGAACATAGCGGAATTGAAGCGCATACCACTCCCATTTGGGCAATTCGTGTCGCGTAAAATTGTCTGTCTGTTCAGCTGAAGGGTCTAAAAGTTCAGCTGGCTGGGTTTGAGATTTCTAATACCACCCTCGACGCGGAACTGAAATTGATCACGTGATTATTCGTATAAATGCGCTGTTTGGGGGGTGTTGTCTGGGGAGTTGCGAGGTACATTCCATTCGTGAGATAGTTGATGTATTGTTTGACGGAAATAGATGAGACGATGGTTGCTTTGAATTGATGCTGGGATTTGAGGCAGTGTGGCTGGTGAGAAGCTGCAGAAGATGGAGTGTGGCGTCTGATGGGATGGCGGGGTAATTTGATGTGGCGCATGGAGGGGCAAAAGGATGGAAAAGTTGTGGAAGCCATGATTCACACCTCGGTTGAAGCTTCATCTGTTTTACTTCCTCGGTTTCGGATTTTCCTTAAGACTGATCTTTATAAAACCGATTTATTTTGATTACAGGTTCTCACATTGTTCTTGAAAGACTTATAGCTACGAAGCGATTCAAGAAAATCTAGGCTCAATATTGCAACTTACGACAGGCACACAACCTGGCAGAAGACGATTCCACAAGGGCCGATCAGGCATATGAGGTTTTCGCATCGAAAGAAAACCAGGAGGACGATTCGAAGCCACACCAGTGGGAGGAATTTGGCCACCAATTTGAACCTGGAGAGCTTGAACTTCTCAAGCAAAGTATCACCCAAATGGCTCTCAGCAGGATCGACGGCCAGGATGAGCTATTCGTCGGAGGGTAGGTTTCTCTTACCACTAGGCAATTCACGTACATGCAATGCTAATTATTTCCCAGACTCTGGGCTTTGCGCCGCTCAGACTCGCTGACGGATCGTCGCATCACGCATGTTCTCTCCCTCGTCCCATTCGACATATCAAGCCTCAAAAACTTCAAAGACGAACCATGGATCGATTACGGAAAAGACCTACAACACCAAGTTATCGACATTGACGATGTGGAGGACGCTGACTTGCTGATTGAGCTTCCCAAGGCTGTCAGATTCATCGAGGAAGGTCTGGGCGCGAGCTGGCTTGCGAAAGATGAGGAGGATGGGGGCGTCTCGTTAGAGAAGGGTGTTGAGGACCTTGATATTGGGGAGAAGAAGAGGAAGAAGAAGGGAGGCGTCTTTGTTCACTGCGCGGCTGGAAAGTCGAGATCTGTTTCGGCGGTTATTGCTTACTTGCTTAGGCGATATCCAAACCGTTTCGACCCCAATATCACGCCGACTGCCATCTCTGATCCGACCCACTCTGTTCCCTGGACTGAAGAGAAGCGTTCGAGAAAAGATACCGCTAAAGAGGCTGTACACGCTGCACTTACGTTTGTGCGCCGAACTCGACCCATGGCTGAACCTAACGAGGGCTTCATGGAGCAACTAGCCTTGTGGTGGGAGATGGGCTGCCCTGATGATGTTGAAGGACACCCTGTCTATCAGCGGTGGGCTTACAAGCGTGAAATCGACGAGAACCTTGCAGTAGGCCAGGCACCGACGAGGCTTCGTTTCGAGGATGAAGAGACCCAGCCTCGTGATGACTCAGGTCTTAGTCTACGATGTAAGAAGTGCCGTCGAACTTTGGTCACGGCCCCCTTCATTGTGGAGCACAAGCCTTCTGACAAGAAGTCCTCGGCGTCTACATGCCAGCATTACTTTGTCGAACCACTCAGTTGGATGCGCGGGATTCTTGAACAGGGAGAGCTCAACGGAAGATTATTATGTCCCAATGCAAAGTGCGGTGCTGGCGTGGGCCGGTACGACTGGAAGGGCTTTCGGTGCTCCTGCGGCGGGTGGGTGACGCCGGCGTTCTCGCTACAGAAGGCGAGAGTCGACGACGTCGTCAAGCGGCCGGCAACTCAGAGCATGGGAATCCGGATGCCGCCCGGGTTAGCTCCACGGAGCGGAAACCTGTGAGGACAGATGAGGGCGGAATTACTACCAACCAATACTACACAAGGGCGCCGCATTAACACCGATTCAAGCCCATGTTACCGATCCGTGCCTTGAGAGACCCGGCCTCCGCGGACCCGTTGTTATGCTCGGTGCCTCAGGCATGCCGTATACTGCTTGACAGGTCCGTCTAGACATGGAGCTTTTACCCTTCTCGAGATACATCCCGCTCTGGCATGCTGCATCTCTCATGGCGAGCGAACCACTGGGAGAGAGGGAGCAAAAGCCGGCGGGGTACTTGGCGGGATCAAAAGCCCTAGGGCTTACAGGGCGTGAGGTGTGCGTCGTGGAAGGGAAAAGAGAGTGTGTGTCTTGATGCATTTTGCATCTCGTCGTGGATAAGCCGGGAGACTCGGGCTGCATGAAGAGGGGAACTTCACAGAGCAGATGGTTCCTGGGAGACAAAGTCCAACGGAGAGAAAAGGGAGTCCGAGTTCGGGGTCCAGAGAAGCCCCAATGCATCAGCACTAGACCTCGTTGGAGTGTCGTGTCACCTCTGTCAGAGATCAGAGCAACATGCGCACGCCTCTGTTAATACATACAATAGAGCCCTGCATAGGCAGATCCTTCGAATATTTAGCTCCATGATTCGATGTCTTGTTGTCTTATTCCCATGTGGATCTACTTGTCCATAATTGCTCTACTTTCAACTATCTAATCTAATCGAGGTAGTTCTGGTGATAGCCCTAGCTCAAATCCTTTACAAGATGGCTCGGCGTCTTACATAGCTCGATCCACCACGGAATTCCGACACAGCCCAGCCACTATAGGGCTGATCCGAGGATCTAAAACCATGGGAAAAAGAAAATAAGAGAAGGAATATAATCACGAAACATGAATACGCCAGCTTACTGATACACCCCGTTTCGCCTTGGTCTGAAACCCACATCGGGCGTAAGCCAGTCAGCACCGCTGTCTTCATCTTCTTGAAGGATCACACTGATTGTGGAAAACCTTGATGCGAGCTGTCTAAAGAGCTTTTGCCTATCGCCATTTGATCTGTGATGCGTGAAGGCGGAGAAAAAAGAAGACAGCGCTGTCTTGGCGGTCCGCTTACGCCCGGCGATTGCCTTTTGGGGTTATGCTTCTTTTTGTCTTACCAGCGCATTTCAGCCCTTTGAAGATGTATTTAGCCCTATTTGTGTAAGTTGTTGAAACGCCATATCATGGATGCTTGGCGGGATAGTTTTGAGTTGGTCATAGCTCCCCGTTTCTTCTCATGACGTCTTTGCTCGCATCTTGATACCCCTTTCGAACTCGAGTCTATTGATCATGGGGGAGTGAGTAGCTGGTTTGCTGGGAACTAGTTAGAACTATCTACCCGCAGCGTGCCTCATCGACGGGTGCATCTTACTGCATGACACGCCTTTTTCCTGTCTTGGCTTAGAGTTTGCAATGACAACGAATGTTATACGCAGGAGTTGTCCTAGATGCAACGGTGCGAGTATAGCAAGCGAAGGAATATGAACTATACCTCGGTCTTGTTTGTGAACTGACCACTTGAACTGTCAGCCCTATCTTGTAGCCTGTCCAGACAAAGTTATTCCAGGAAGGCCCTAGAACAAGGGCAGAGTTGCACTCATCTACCTTTTCTACAAAGGAGGGGCGTGGTGTGAACCGTGGTTCTCTCTCACCCCCCTGAAAGGATACCTGCTCGTCTGACAGCATACAAGTACACAACCTGCAAAGTTCGTCTGTCTATCCCCGAAGGGAAAGGCACGAGTTTCTGTTGCAACCCCAACCCACCGGAAGGATGTGCAGCCGTTGGACCCCTTCGATCTTCGGGAAGTCTTTTTCCTGGTCTTTGTTTGTGGTCGCTGTCAATGTTGATCCCTCGGCATTGCCGATTTATGAAACCTGGAGCATGAAACTTGATGGGAGCGTTTATAGAACCATAAACTCTATTTTGAGAGAGAGCTACTGCATGGTGTTGTTGTGTCATACCTCCGCTGCCGATGAGATTCGGTCTGTGTGGTTGTGTTGGATGGGAGCTAACGTCGGTTTAGTTGCTGCACTCTTGTTGCCGCGCGATCACTGTGACGAGCCCAACCTGTCGGTACTTTGCATAGACCGCTTTCTCACAAAGAATATCTTGGATAGTCACATGGCTTGTTTTGCATGTCTCATGTCAGCCCTATAATCACGCTGTGGAGTATCTCGGACTCGGGGTCTACAAGCTTGGGACTGAAAGACCACAATCTGTGGCTTTTTATCAAGGAAAAGAAGTGACGCTATTCTATATCATGTCATTGCATGCGACGGTATCTAGGATGATTCAGGTACTTGCAGTAGTAGTGCTCTCAATGCATGTCACTCCCCTCAACCCTTCGATCATCATGTACATCTGCAGTCATCACCTAGACGAAATAATTCATCTCTCCACTGTATTATTACAAACAATAGCATGATTCTAAATTCTTATAAGAAATCCTCTGACTCGCTATTCGCGGTGAAGCTCGGATCCGAATCACTGAAGGTCACCGAAGCCTATACGCTTACACCTAAGAGCTAGATGCCGTAATTCTGCGGAGATTCTTACAAGGATGTTAGATGCCAGAATCGTCACTTTGACACCGCTTCACGATGGCGTTTTTCGCGGGAACGAGCCATTGGCGAGACGTCACCCTCCTTTGTAACTCGACGATAGCTGATCAATCAGACCTCGAGACAAGCGAACATCACATCACCATTGTCATCACAGTATTGAACTTTTATGCTCTTCTGAGCGGAAGTTGTCGCGGCTCTTCCAGCTCTTGTTTCTCGAGCCCAAGATGTAAGCACTAAGTAGCTTAGACGCCCCGCACCCTGAGGGTCACATCCCATGGTTTTGTCTATCCTATCCTGTCAGACGTTTTAGAATGCGAGATCAGTACAAGAATCCCATGTCGTCTGTTTGCTAGCATCGGGCGGGATGTGTGCACTCCATACGCCTAGACCAATCATCTTGTAGTTGGCCTGCAAGAAAACTTGACGACCAATGCAGCTGTTTCAATAACAGGGCATAATCGTCGGCATAATGGCATGCCAAGATGGGATGTTCTCTGCGCTTGTGGCTTGCGTCGTAACGAGACCGAACGTACGTTGGAAGGTTAGCGTCGTGGTGTCGGAGTTAATGGTTCACTGGTAAATCCGTGCCTTGAACTTGACTTGCCCAAATAGGAAGCCAGTTATGGACAAGAAGTTAAACTAACTGATATGATATGTAATTGCAGAAATCTCTGCAGTTTGTGGAGAGTGGCTTGAGGACGGTAATAGTGTGTTGGTATGCGATCAAATCAGGGCTCAAAGGGCGCGAATGTTGAGGGAGAACTTGAGCTGAGAAGCTTGACTAAGTTATTACAAAGTATTGGAAATACAGTCTGGTTAATTATAGGACGGAAAGTAGCAGAATTGCTACCGAGTTGCAACAGGGTTCTCGATGTAACGAGTGTTAAGAATATGAGATATTACTCAAAGACCGCATATTCGCCCTCACATGAAACGTTTCTTCTCGCGAGACCCGAAAGCTACCTGGCTTTAGTTAGTTGGAATACCAGTCCAAGTATGATGCGAACTTATTTGTGGTGTTGTCATCATTGTCATGATGTTGTGCTCCTGGTAGTGACTGTGTAAGTCATGATGATACCGATGGACGGAATGGTGACAATTACTGCGATGCCACATTATTGCAGTCCTCCATCTTCTATGCTGAAAACGCCAGTATCGCCTCTCCATGACCTCTGGTTGAGTTGTCAGCTGTGTGTCGGCTTCGTTATGCTTCCCTCGCAAGGAGTCGTAGCAACACTCTCTCGCACTCAATCGTTTACAAGAGCTATTGACAAGCATCAAGTATATCACGGAACAAGTCGAATATGCTTTCAGTTTATATTTTAGATTTGTACGACATCTTGGAATTAGTTAATTAGTGAACAAGTCGAAGGTCTCTTCTGGGAGGTCCTCTTCGCGGGCAAACTATATCCAGTTTGTCATCAAGCTCTTCCGAAGGTCACAAAATCGGGAGCTGCGGTCAATATTCATACATGGAAGTTTTGATGTAGAGTTCTAGTGTACTGTGGTCGTTGCTGCCCTGAAAGCTGCCCTTCGACAGTCACTGGCTTGTGAATGGCTTCAACGCCCTCATGATGACTACAATGTATCCCCTTAGAGATAGAAGTAAACATAAGAGTTTGATCCTAAACAACAATAATTCTTGGATAAGTCGAAGAACATCTTGGGATCTTGAATATTTTAGGATAAACTTGCAAACTCCTTGACTACCTAGTATTTATGCTTCGCCCTCGTAACATAAGAATAAGTCTTGCCCAAAGACTGGGCATGCTTCTCAATTGATCTCATCAGAACTTCGCCAACTACCAGACGGAAGGACCCTGATCTCAGGTCTCATCATCGGCCCACACCAGAAATGCAATTCCCCCTCAAGGTCATATTCATTATATTCCGTGTGAATGCTGTGCCGGATATCACGAGGGCCAAAGTTTACTCGCATCGGCATTCGTTGGCAGAAGGGAAAAGGCACAGGCCATCTCTCGATATACATGCGCTTTGGCGTTTTGGTGAACGAACGTCTGCACTCGGACATTCTGCACCGTCCGAGGTCGCCGATGAATCTCATACCCCCGTTCTTATAACCTATAATCATTCCTATAAACCCCGGGCCATTTTGTTCGAATATAGTAATGCCGTGGATGTTTTGTAGGGGAGCCCATGACCAGGCACGGAAGTGAAAGGGAGAGGGGGTGTTCAACGATAGCTGCGGTCCAATGATCTGAGGAACAGCGTTTGATTCGAGAGCAGTTCCTTGAGGATACATAGCAAACGAAACCAAATGCTCCGGGTTATGAATTTGCCGATTGAAGCAGAACATAAGCTGTGGAAGCTTGACGAAGAACCTCGAAGAGAATGGATTGTTTGTCGCTTTGGCTTGTAGTCCCACGTGTATAACGCCTGATAATTGGGTCCCAAGCTGGGATATGTTAGAATGGATATCCATTTTTAAGTAATCAGGCGGGACTTTATACCAGCATACTGTAGTTGTTCCCACTCAATCGGATCTCCAGCCACATTATTTTGTCTTTGATTAGTGGTACGGAAATGGGAACCGGAAATGGAGGAGCATGGGTAAACATACAATGGCCTATTGTGTGAGGCTCCATTGAGAAGGGACCTCCTGTAAAGGTTGTTATATTTTGGCCGCAGAAGAATGTGAGAGGCATGTAAGTCATGTTGTCGAGGCGTATTGTCTTGATGTTTGTGGCTTGGGGGACTTCCTCATTGAGCATTCTACAGCCTTCAAGTTGCAAGAAGCGCTTATATTGTTGATGGAGTACCTTTGGTGGTGTCGGAGTGTCCTAGGTCGGGAAACCAGGGTGACCCCCATGTGCCCTCAGACAGCAGAGTCCATCCTATATGGTCAGTGAACCATATAAGCATGATATGTCTTGGTATACTGACCTGAAAGTAGGCCTCGACGGATTTAAGGTCTTTCTCGTTGGCGAGAACGTACCTCTTGAACTTCTGTCTGGAATAGTTTGGTGGACGAGGATGATTCTGAAGTCTCTCAATCTGGTAAATGCCGTCCGAATCAAGAGTGATGCATATACATTCAGGGTCTTTTAGACTTTCCGCGCAGGCTGGTCCAGCGTCGTGGCGCTTCCAAGACTCAACGCAGGAGAGATAATTTGTGATTAGAGTTGTACTCATAGGTCTCAAACCTAATCGCGGCTTGAAGTCCAGTCTGTGTACCATATTCCAGAAATAGGCATCTGGGCAACAAGATTGAATCAGAGCAACAAGCCCTATAGGAAGTCGGCCGAGGAGTGGGAGGCTAGCAATCCTCGCTGCCGCTGATACGGCCAGTTGACTGGAACGTAGAGGCTTAGGAATGTCAAGTTCTTTGGGGAAGATACGCATGTGGTCGAGTTTGCGCCACGCCAAAGCTCTCCTGAAGCAGTTGATCTCATCTTGCGACCGATGCCGATGGGGCGTAATGATAATACTGGAGAAACAGTCCGAGTGTAGGAAGGTAAATCCTGGATAGTCTCTGACCGTCACATTGTGCGATCTCAAAAGACTAGCACTCATCCAATTTCCGGCAGGCCAATGAAGACACCAAACTGTGGAGTTTTAGGTTAATTCCTGAAGGAAAGGAATTGGCAACTCACTTTGAACCGCTGATTCTTCTGTATCGCCGATCAATGCATGGCAGGCATCGCATCGAGTATCACCAAAGATCCTGGGCATTGTATCGATGGGAGCCACACAATAGCTAGCTGGGGCCCAAAGTATGGTGTTCGTCGCGAGAGATAAGTCCTGGGTGAATCTAGAATAAAGATAGAGAAATGTCTAGATGCTATGTTGATGACTAAGTTTGAGTACGAAGGAACGTAAGAAGGGAAAGGAAAGGAAAGGAAAGGCATGGCATGGGAAGAGAAGGACAGCTACTTGCTCTTCCTCCCGGAACTCCGTGCAAAGGTAGAAGGTCCAACGATGACTGGTTACCACGTGAAGAGCAATATGTGAAAAGAGCGGCCAAAGAACTGCAGGCTCATGATGATTACCAAAACCTCAAGATGCTCTCCAAAATAGGGAAATTCTCCTATATCAGCGTCTGAGAAGGGAGAGAGGAAATTAGAGAAAAGAGTGAGTTGATAGTGAAAGTTTGACGCTGTGAACCTCACTCATCTGAACACCTTATGAAGGCAAGGAAGGTAGCTAAATTGACCGGTAGGAAGGGTAGTGTACTTCCACTTGATACCTTCCCTTACCTTAACTTTAACGGGCTGCTTGCCCAGTACTTCCAACGTTCACGAGCCCTTCATGAGAGTTGTCGTAAACTCAAACATTTTGACATAAGATCCGCCGAGCTTTCAAAATGGGAATATATTATGACAAACCTAGATCTCTGTCCTAGCACGTTAGTCAAAGATAGCCGCCGCACAAAAGCATCTCTGATCTCCTTTCAAACTCCAACACTAGCATCGCCATCTCCTGTTATCGACTGGGCGCATCAGAGGGCACAGAGGGAAAATATCCAGGCTTTGATGCTCGTTCCCGATCAGCCTTTGCGGCTTCGGCTTGTCGCTTCTTCAGCAATCTTTGCTGGTAAAAGGCCCTGTCGTTGTTAGCATGTCGACTCCTGTGCGAACAAACGACTTACGTCTTCAGCTCAAACACACGGGGCTCTTCCTCAGGAGACGGAGATTTGTCTTCCTTGTCCTGCAAAGGTCAGTCATGTAAAGGTAAGCTGGTATACGTACTCACCTTGTCTTCGTCCTTCTTCTCATCTTTATCCTCTTTGTCTTTGTCTTTCTCCTTATCCCCATCCTTTTCTTTCTTATCCTTGTCCTTATCCTTTTCCTTCTTCTCTTCTTTCTCCTTCTTCTTCTTCTGCTTCTCCTCATACTCCTTCTTAACCCTCTCCTTCTCCTCCTCTAACTCCTTCTCCCTCTTTCTCTTAGCAGCCTCCTCATCAATCTTTGGCGTGCAAAAGTACCGATCCTTCAGATGAACCGGACAAACAAAGAAGAAATCCTACCATATCAATCGCATGAGCTTACAAAGGAATCAGCCGAATTTGCTTTATGTCAGTATCCCGCATACCTTTTGATCAGGTGTGATTAGCACCGATGTGCTCGACTTGTAGCAGATGTCGCATGCTTTGGCTGCTGTCTCAGCAACCTTGCGGAGCGTGTAGAGATTTGGAAACGTAGTCGCCATGATTGTGATTCAATAGTGACAATATTGTGAGACAAAAGAGTGTTTGTTTACTACGATGCCTGGCGGCTCGTATCACACGAGGTCGGTGAATAAGGCTGGGCTGGGTTGGGTATCGCGGGGAAGCGCCCCGTCCAACTTTGACGTCAGAAGCTGATAGGGCGAAGCCTCCCCTGAAAGGTCTGACAACAGCTCCTGTAACCCGCCAAAACTAGCGCCAGTCCCTGACTAATAAGCGCCCTCTGTCATGAATCGCTATCTTATCGCACTCTAGGAAATATGATGACCTATGCATATCCGATCGCCACAACCAACTCCTAACAATTCTCTTTGACCCAAATTTTCAACCCCCAATCTTTTTAAAAGCTGTGATACAAATCACGGCAGGACGATTGGATTCAGTCATGGGCAAAATGCTCGATACGGAGAAGCTGGGTTCGGTATTTGGAACCCGGCCGGATATTCTTGAAGGAATTCAGAGAGCAGCTGGTAAACAATACCCCTGAAGATGTTATTCGCGAAATACTAACTTTAGAGTCTAGATACGCCTGGACGAATTGCTTTGTTCAACGAAATTGCGACTCATGTTTACGACCAGTTGTTAAATGGAGGTAGCGAGCCTGCGCACAAGAGGAGAAGAGTCGATGTCCAAACAAACGGAGCTGCGAATGGCACAAAGGCTGTCAAGACCGAGACGAATGCCGCAGATGAGACTGTTCTTCTCGAAATCAAGGAGATTTCAGTTTCCGTGCCCCAGAGGAAGAAGTTTGAGTTGTGTTTTACCGACGGCCATATCTACGCTCGCGCGCCAAACACAACAGCACCGATTCCAGCTATAACCTACGCGTGGTCAGACATTGGTACGCGTTATCGCATTGCTGTTATGGGTTTCATGCTAACCTGGTGCCAGAATATGTTTTCTACCTCCCCGTACCTGAGAAGAACCAGGTTCAGCACAACTATGTCATTTTCCCACGAGGAACATGTCTCCCTTCCAAGACGAACCCCCCTACCGAAGAACCACTCGTGTTTACAGTTCCCGCGACTGCGCCCAAGCAGGGTACGATAGGTGGACCCGACGCTGGAAGCGCAGCTGCTGTTTCGGACAACTACAAGTCTTTGTTCCATTGGGCTTTGAACCGTCATCTCAAGCCCAACGGTGTCAGCATTACTTCAGCCGACCCCAACAAGTTCCATAGCATGGTGCGACAACCTCATCGACCGAGCGAGAAGGCCGTACATGTCAAGGCCTTTAGAGGCTCCAAAGATGGATACCTATTCTTCCTCGAGAATGGTATTCTCTGGGGATTCAAGAAGCCAATGATATTTATCCCCCTGAACCGAATCGCCGCGACGAGTTACACCAACATTCTCCAACGAACATTCAACATCGCAATCGAGGTCTTCGCAGGCGAGGGTGATGCGACTGAAGAAGCTGAGTTCTCCATGCTGGACCAGGATGACTTCAGCGGAATCGACGAGTACATCAAGACGCACCGTCTCCAAGATCGCAGTATGGCCGAGCAGCGAAAAGCCAAGCTCGAGCTCGCAGAGAACCGCGGACCCAAGAAGAACGGCGAAGAGGCTGCAGACGGCGCACCAGCTGAAGCTGGTATTTCTGAACTTGCAAAGGCGCAGTTGGACGCTGAGCAAGCGCTCCAGGATGAAGAAGATGAGGATGAGGAGGACTACGATCCTGGTAGTGATGCGGACTCGGATGGTTCAGGAGAGTCGGATGATGATGATGATAGTGACGACGATGATGAGGACGAAGAAGACGAGGAGGATGCAGAAGGAGAAGCCGAAGACGGCGATGAACAAGCTGAGGGCGAGGAGGAAGAAGAGCAGCAAGAAGAGGTTAAGCAGGAGCCAGAGCCGCCGGTAAAGAGAAACCGAAGAACTGCGCCTCCACCAACGGAGCCTTTACCGCCACCAAAACCTGTCAAGCAACCCGTCCAGCAACCCGTCGTTAAGACAGGCTGGGCAGCACTACGAAGTGTTCCTCGAGCCCCTGCCCCTGAAAGCATGGACTTGGACGAAGAAAAGTTTGATGTTGTCTAATGACACTGGGGTATGTACATATGTAACGATAGACTCGGCGGGATATGAATGACGACAGTGTACACAACATAGGGAGTCGAGGATGATGAATCTTACTAGCGTTGAATGAACATTGGTCAAAGTGAATATGTTATTGATGCACTTTTATCGATGTCTGAATTAAAAGGGAAAAGAAAGTCCCAGCAACAAAGGATGCAGTAAGGAGACCCATGGTATCATTCCGTCGTCGAACTTCAAAGTCAACAACTTCCCCTCGATTCTCAACCTCAACGCAATTCTTCCAGCACCGTTCACTTCTGGTAGGCGAGGACTTCAGTGCGACCACTTCGGTGGTAATCAGCAATAGGCATCTTACAATTGCCACACTGATGATGAACATCCTTGAGCGAGGAGATGCAATAGGGGATACATCCACAGCAAGTAAAGAAGCACACCAGCGCGGCGATAGCACTGCAACTGTCAGCGACCACTTCTTTTCTTTAAGAAAGGCAAGGGAAAACTTACTGAACGAAACCACCAGATTCTTCCGTTGTGATAGTCATGGCCCTCACACCGCAGGCGGGGCAAACGACTGGTGCACTCTGACTCTGCAGAGACTGGAGCGGCAGGCTTTGAAGGTGCTGCTGTTGTGGCTGTGGCTGCGGGGGGGCATTTTGGTCCTGCTCGAGCTGGTGTGTAGGAGGTGGGTTTGTAAGTGGCGGCTGGGCGAGCGGTGAGCCGAAGTCGCGGTTCTCGTAGTCTGGAGGTTGTTGGTTATCAGCGGATAGTTCGTGCTCGGAGGAGTGATGAGCGTGATGCTGATGATGCTCGGGATTAGGTGCTAGACCACGTTAGCAAGACGAGCTGGCATTTACACAAAGCAACATAACATACTAGGTTTCTCCATTGTGAATGTGGATATTAGTACGGTTGTTGATGAGATGAGATCCGAATCTGGTGTCTTTCTGCGCCGAGCTGTCCAGTGTTTTATAAAGAACGTCTAACAAACTGATGATGATGATGAAAGGATAATCTCGGAAGTTACCTTGTTCTACTGCGCCAAGGTTAAGGTAGTCACACAGCCTCACGATCAAGGAAGGAACCAAGCACGGCAGGAAAGTCCTCTCATCATCAAGAGAGTTCAACGGGCGGAAGGTGGCCCCCAGCTTTTGAAGGAAGAGGCAGTGATGTCACCAAGGGTTAAGATTGTATATCATTCGTCTGTAGAAATCCTTCTATGAAGGTGATGATCATAACATGAAACTTGTAAGTTGTGCTGTATCGAATGGTTGGCCGACGTCACAAGCTTGGCTTGCCAGGGTGGAAAGGAAAATGTCCGTGGCTGTGCTTGATGATCAATTTGTGGCGAGTAACGACGCATCACGAGTTGAGCAGAAGAGTACAGGGATAAGAGGATGTGTTGTTGTACGGAGAATAAGTTGGGTACAGTTGGGGTCTGTTATAAGTTGGAATGGAGATATCCGTGGATGGGCTGAGAACAGTCAGTGTTGGATATCAGCGCTAAGCGCAGTTCTAGTCAGATCGGAGAGTTACAAGTGATCTTATTTTTATTTATATCTTCTTATCATTAAACTTCATAGTAAAAGCTGCAATATTGATTGTGGCAGAGATTCTCATTCTCATCGTAGTAGATTAGTAGAGTTGTTGATGAATGTATACGTATTGCTTGGAGTGTGCCTGGGCATCAAACGTCGCAAATAACAGATGAACGTGATCAAACAAAGGCTTCAACAGAGTAAATCAAATTCAATCTATAATCTCCTGGTAAAGAACCTGTTTAATCCTCCCCATCACAAGATGCTCGAGCATTCATACAAGTTCACGCAACTGAATGTTCCAACATAACTCTTATCTTATCACCAATCTTATCGTCATCTCCACAGCACGTGACACCTTCCAAACTTTCCACTCCTCCATAACCGCATCACGACCTTAATCGCCATATCGTTCAATCCAATCCCCCCTCACAATCCCTCAAAATGACCGGCCGACACAAAGCAATCCGTCTTCCACCCCTCAAGACCCTGCGCGTCCACAACCCCAAGCGCCAGGTCGAGAATCCCTGTATCGCTATCATGTCCAGCGTTCTCGGTACATACTCCCCTCCCCCTCTACGGTTCTCAACTGGCAACTACCGATCTACGACTCTTTCATACCGTTTGTGAGACAGGATACTGACAGCGGATATAGCATGCTGGGCCTCAGCAGGTTACAACGCAACAGGCTGCGCAGCAGTAGAGAACCAGCTCCGCAAATGCATGGACGGTCCGGCTCCTCCCCCCGCGGGCACGAATACGATTAACTACCATCTCGCACGAATGCAAAAGTACATGACCGGGCCAAGGAAGCAAAAGTAAACCGGATTAAAAGAAGAAGAAGAAGAAGAAGAAGAAGAAGAAGGGATATGCATTTTGGGCGTCGGAAGCGCTGCTTTTGCTGGGATGGGATTGGATTCGAGATATGTACAACAATACCCGCATGGGGGATAGAAGGGGGGATGTATAAATATCGCTGTACGACACAGTTACAAGTACAATTCAAGTCATGACAATTTGAATCAACAACGAACCGATGCTTCATGGTATATGGATGGAAAGGTTACGGGACTAATGGAAACATCACGGTATGCGAGACGGAACAGTTCATTCAAAGTGTTTGCATTTCACTACCTCACTCTGCACAACACTAGTTACTCAAATCAGCAACTCTACCCATCATAAGGCGCACACCCAATGCCACAAGTTTCCCACATCCACCTCTATTGCGCACGGGGGGAATCACACCCAAAAACAAAAAACAAAAAAAGGAACGGCAAACCCGAATCTTTGGAAGACAAACACAAAAAAAAAGAGGTAATTGACAAAGAACGAGGAATCAAGAGAATGATGATAAACGCCCCCATTTCTTAATAGTAGCGCCGGATCCCCATGAAACTGTGCTGTAAGTGACTGAGAAGATGAATGATCCCGGTAGAGAAACAGCTTCGTCTCGCCATAGAAAGGGCGCATACAATGCGAATGAGTCATTTCTATGCAAGAAAAGACCGTCACAAACCAAAAAAGAAGTCTTAACCCAAGAAAAGTAATGTCCATAGGACGAATGAGTGGCTCGAGTAGGCGGTGTTTTCGTTAGATAGTGACGATAGAAAAAGAGATGTGTTCGAAAAGTCGAGTTCGCTTGCCGTCTATATGATAATGTATCGGCTTGCCCAGTCGTCCAGACGCCCTTTGGTCGTTATCGTGCCTTTGATCATGGATGGTTTCTTCAAGTAAATATATGTATGTTTTGTTTTCCGTGCGCCGAAAAATGCGGTTAATGATCCGTGGGTATCCTAAGCACAATGCACCATTTCTGCCTCCTCTCCAGGGTGGGGGTGTTGATCGACATTTGAGTGCGCGCCTATGAGAGGTTGTCTAGGAAGTGCCACCGACGCAGAAGAGCTCTATCTCTCCTACGCCTCCAGAGTACATGTTCCTGACACCTTCGCGCCACTCCATGAAAGCGATCTGGATATCATCATCGCCTTCGATTGCGACAAAGTCACCGTCTTCGTCGCGGTATCGAAGCTTGAGCAGACCCTTGCTGATACTGCTAGTAGTGAAGCGGGCGAGCTTGGCGTCGATGCGATCAACAAGAGACTGATAGGTAATGTTGAACGCTACGACTAGGGTGACATAGTTTCCTGCCTCGCAGTTCACTCGAACCTTGAGCTGTGTTGGCAGGGGCATTTCCGGGCTTAGAGGGTTCGAGTTTGGTGGCATCGTTGCTGTACCAAGAGCTGGAGACACTGTTCGTGAGTTGGCGGCAGCAGCGTCAACACGAAGAGCATTTCCTCCAGCACCTGGTGTCATTGATCGTGGATGAACTGGTTGTGAAGGGAAGTGGTTCATGCTGCCGCCCACACTGCCGGTGTGCTTGTGCATTCGCTCTCGCTGAGCGCCTGGACTGTTTGTTTGAGCTCGAGTTGGCTGTTCATTTCTAGGTGAACCTGTTTGTTCTCGGCCAATACTGGGGTTGTGGCCAGGATGCAAGTGTTGAGGGATGCCAGGAACTGCTGGAATGTTTCCGTGGCTAGGCTGTCGTGTGCGTGGCATTCCTGGTCCATTAATATCAGGAGTGCTGTACGAGCGGTTCCTGTGTTGAGCAGCAAGAGCCGCCTGACTGCTAGAGGCCATTGCTGGCAGAGAAGGCCCTCGAGGGTTACGTCCATGAGGGTTCGGTGAAGTGCCGTCGCGAGAGGGAGCACGTGGCATGGCGGGTGCGGTGTATCGGTTGCCGTTGCCATCCTCCCATGTTGGCTGAGGAGTAGCACTCTTGGGGAGTCCATAGTGAGGTGTTGTAAACATTCCACTGGCTGTGCTGGTTCTTGATGATGCTGGTGACTCGGCGACGGGAGAGAAGTAGCTATCGCCTGCCCAGGCGCCGGGTGAATGAGCACCATTCGCTGGTGTCTGAAGGCTGAGAGGTGCAGGCGGCGCTGGTAGAGGGAATCGAGGCGGAGGCGCTCTCACCATACCGGCCAGTGAAGCAGAGCTCTCTCCGGTTCCGGCCCGAGCGCGAAGGTTACTGGTTGAAGCTGTTCGAGGCACGATACCTACGGGAGGTCCAGTAGGGTACCCGGCGGGTGCTGTTGCTGGTCCGATGTCTTCATCATCGTCATCTTCCTGCAGGTATGGATTCTCCAGCCCAACCCCATGCTCTCGTGTCCAGGCAAAGTCGGTTGAAAGCGAGTCTGAGTTCGAAGACTGGCGCGGCACGTTATGCTTCCTCTGGGTCTCCAGAGTCATCACCCATTTCCTCAAAGTCTCTTCGTTCAAGAACTTGATGACAAAGTTTTCAACACCAGGGTCGCCCTTCCACCATATTTGTACACTGTGGTTGCCTTCCGAGAGTCAGTTGTGTCGATTATTCTGAGGTTCATAACTCACCTGGCTTAGAGAAGGACACAATATCAGTCACATTAGTCATGAAGATCCTGCCTTTCAACTGAAGCTTGGCGCTCTTGTTCCGCGTCTTGGGACCTGATGACCGCAGCTTGTCCTTCTTATCCTTGCTCTTGCTTGATGAGATCTCCTTGCAACACAGGAGAATGGACTCGAAAAGGTAAATTTCGTACTTTGCAAGATCAGTATCAGGCCCCTGGAATCTGGAACGCAGACTTACGTCCTTCTCTTGGTCTGTCTTTCCGGTGATCACACCATACACGCCATGCAGGAGAAGCTTGCCAAATTGTTCCACCTTGTGGTTCTTCCAGTCCTCAACTCGGTTTGTAAGGTCCTCGAGAGCCTCATCAAGCAAGTCGCGGTTAACGGCTTCGTTAGCCTTTTTCAGCACTCGTTCAGCGGCCTCACAACCACTGGTCAGATCCATCTTGACTTCATCATCCTCGGTCTTCTTGTTCAAATCCTGGCATGTGTTAATTATTGAATATCGAAGAAGCGCAAGCAACCCACCTTGAGCAACAGAGGATATTTAACCAATCTTTGCATGGGCTTTAGCAGGAAACCATCCAGAGTGTTGAAATCTGTTGCCACTGGGTGTGAGGAGCGTTGGATCTTGTCAAAAACCTGATTCGCAACCATAGCCGCCTTACGTTGGTTTGCGATAAAAGGCTGGTAAATGTCGAACGCATCCTCATACATAATAAAGGGAGCCCCCCATCGTTGGTTCGCAGCAGACAGGGAGTTTGTTGTCTCTACTCGAATCAAGAAACGGCGCTGGAAATCGAGAATAGCATTGATGTTGAGGAAGATCTGATGGAGAGTATCGCCAGGAATTTCGCCTTGTTGTTCGAGTGTCTTCTTCAAGTCGTGCAGGTTCTCGAGATCTTGAACGTATTTTCGCTCGGTGTCGACAAGTTCACGGATAATGTGGTCTCGGTAGGTCATCTGTCCGCCCGTGGGCTCGTTGGTACCGGGTCCATCCTCAGGGTATGGTTGAGGTTGAAGGAGATACCCACGTTCCTCTGCTCGATCCAAGACGTAGTTAACAACTTGAGTCACCTATTTCCATCACTTTAGCTCAGCCTACACATCATAGCCAATATCTACCAACCTTTACAAAGCCACTGGTATCATTACCCATTAAGTCAGTTATCACAAAACTATGGGAAGATGGAATATCTAGGTCCTTCATGCAGGCCTGAACGAATTTGAAGATGGCGATCTTGGACTTCTTAGCTTCATTAGCGCTAGGGTCCTCGACCTTGAGCTCTTCGTTAGGTCGCAAGGCATTGTAAATAAGGAGTAACGGATATCCTGTTCGAAAGAGATTCCATAGAGGGTCAACGGGATCATTGGGGTCCAGCTGATCGAGATAAGGGTCAAAGCCAGGAACCTGGGCCAAGCGCTGCTTGAGCGAAATGCAAATCTGGTAGAGCGATCGTGAAGCGTCGGCCTTTTGATTGATAATATTCGCAGTGGCTAGCACGGGACCACCGTTCTGTGGTGTGGCGGTCGTAGCCGTGGACAGAGAACTCAACGAAGCCGAGGAGCCAGCAAAGGCTGTCGAGCCCGAGAGTTGGCTGGCGCGCGGCGCATGGTTCATACTGGTCTGCGAGAAGCCACTGAATCCGTTGGAGTTTGGCTGAAAGGCCGGAGCTGTATTATTTCGTAACAACGGGGCATGGGCCATAGCCTTCTACGCCATCCGTCGAGAGGGAGCGACTTGGGGAGAGATAGAGAAACGAAGCCGACAGCAGGGAGAGCGAGAGGGACGTTGCAGCGAGGTAAAGGATGTCGAGGGAGATCGGTTCGTGTAAAAGCGCCGTGGGGATTGTCTTGGGTGTGAAATGTCTAGGGATGTCACTTGGCGTTGGACTCAGGAACGTTTCAACAAGCGGTTCGACGTCATTCGGCGGTGAATCGAAGCGTGAGATTCAAACGTTGATTTTTCGCAGCTGCAAGACAGGACAGGCGGGGTAAGGGGGTTTGAGGAGGAAGTGTCGAAGCGAAGCGATTTGAGGGAGTAATTCAAAGGTTGGAGCGACGACAAAGAGTAAAGGGTTGATCGTGGCGGGTGTCCCTCTTTGAACGTATACTTCTGAAATCGGCAGCGGGCCTGGTGATGGCTGGTTGGGAGTGCAGAGGTGGTGGTCTCGGGGGTCAGGCGGTGGAGCGATCGAAGGGGGGGTTCAGTGAAGCGGATCGACGATGCCGAAATGGAAGCTGGCAGTTTTTGAAACGACGGGAGTAGACTCTGTCTGATCTGGCAGGCGGGCCAGGTATTCCGATGTGAATTTGAATTTTGGTACGGCAAAAGAGGAAGAGAATTAAAATAGAGTCAGAATAAACCGTTGTTGCCGCAGTTTTTGTCAAAGAAGGAATTCGACGAGGCTGGGCGTAGGTTTAAGGTAAGGTTGAGCGGACGGCAGATGGGAAAGTCGTTTAAAGGAGGGAAGACCAAAAGCGGGCAGCGAGTGCAGGAGCAGCAGCAGCAGCAGCTGGTGAGAGGAGACGGAACGGAAGCGGGCGGTTGGCAATTTAGCGGCACCTAAGGCTCCTGGGCTGTTAGTGGAGGTTAGTTAGTGATTTATGATTTAGTGGGGGTTGGCGCCGCGGCCATTTCAGAGGCTGGATGGCGCTGGAGCAGCCAGTGAGTGGAGGGATCTCATCGGTCTCAGTTTGGGTGAGTGATACTTTACGCGCTGACATTGTCACTCCGAAGCAAATGATTTGATGGCCTGTTATGACTCAAGTGATTACATATTAGGTGATACTTTCTCTGTTTCTCTCTGTACGACAGTTGAAGCACAATCGCTTGAGTAGAAAAACCCATGATCTGGAGGGGAAAAGGGGATCAGACCCTTGTGCAAAAGGATTGTGCGCGGTATCACACAGCCGACACTGTACCACTGGGCGCAACTGTAACCGATGAAGTCCGTGCGATGAGTTCGAGGGACGTGCATTTCTTTGGGCATTAACAAGTCTTCCCCGGTGCGCATCCTATCTCCATCCATCCTTATCCATTATGTTTCAAATTAGCCCAAAGCACTTCCTTCACTCCCTCCTCGGGCCTTTTCAATCGTCATTGGCAAGTCATCAACTATTATTTAAGTTTTACACAAGAAAGAAGCTTTCTGGAAGGAGGTCAATGGGTACATGAGTCGTGCTGTAGGCGAAATGCTGGGCCAAGACCCTGATCTACAAGATACCTGGTCCAATAAAACACCAAAATCCAATGGCAACAGTAGAGTGTTACCAAGCATTGTCACTAACCACTTCTAGTCCCCCATGTCCTTCCTATGATTCAGGGATCAACAGGGGTTAACAATACTGCCATCGCTATCAGCATTCAAGCTAAAACAGAAAAGAAAAGAGCATTGCTGTCACCGTCACATGGCAATAATTGACTTGACGCCCAAAGAGGGGACTGGAGGAGACATACAAGACAAGGGTCTTGAGAAAGACGATTGACTTGACATGGATAAGCCCCTGAATCCTCCAGAACGGGTGGTGTGGTTCCCCTCCTCTTCCAGAATGACATTGCATGAATGTGCAAGGAAGCTTTTGAACTTTACAGGCATCCCATTTTCCTGTCTACTTCGATATAGGAAGTTGCATCAGGTTGACACCTCCGAGGAGAAGCTTCAACACACGTTATCAACAACATGACTGACTGAGATTCAGTGATAAATCTATCTTGTATCTTGTTCATGTCAACTCGACTTATCTCTGGGCTCAATCTACAGTTCAAAATCAATGCCATGTGCCCACTACCCGCGGCGGCTAGTCACCTTTCACATACCCAATCACCGCTGGTCAATATTATCTTGTATCATGGGATTTGACGACAAGATATCCTCAGCAGATCTTTGCAGGTAAGAAACGCAGCTATCCGAAGTATTTTCTTCTCATCATAAGATTTTACCATGAACCTCTTCATAGACCCTTCCAACAAAAGCAAACACACATCCCACAACTTGAACTGTCAATCACCCCTGCCTGACATCATGGGTCCTAAAGCTTCTTCAATCTCTCCAAGCTCAGGGGGGGCGCTCGCTAGCTTCTCTTAGAGAAGGTCTCATGGAACCTTTCGAAGCCGGCTTTTGGCAGTTCTCTGTTGGTTTGCTGCACATTTCCACTCTGGAAGTGCTCCCCATTCGGGGATAGTGAAAGAACATGCATTACAGCGTATGCAATCTGAAACGCGCGGCTTAATGCACAGGCCAGCAACAAGCTTTGTGCAGAAAATCCCATTGTCAGCATCATATAAAGCCAAATCGAGTACATCAACAAAAAGGTTTGCATTTAGAATGCTCGAATCGGCCAGAATGAACTTGGATGTTGAGGCTAAAACGTAGCTTGAAACATAGAATTGCCCGCTTTTGGCTCGACTTACTGTACGCTACTGTGTGTCTGTTTATGCCTCAGCTGCAACTATCGACGATCTTTCTACAAACCACTCGGGGATTAACCATATTCTGTCCATGATCAGCGCCCCAGTGCTTGTTCTCTTTAATATCCGAGACCTTGAACTTTGTAAATCTCCTTCCACATATCGTATCGGTCATCGCCCGAATGCTGTGGAACTCAACTTCAGCTCAATAGGCAGCCTACAGGTAGACCATCTCGTATTATTCCCGTGACACTTTACTACACATTTTGACTTTTCTCGTCGATCCTGAAACAAGGTGCCATCCCGACTTTTGTATGTGGATAGTGTTCATGCGGAGACCAGAAGTGGAAATACTCAAGTCTAAGATGAATTAAAACTCGACGCTTTTGTCTCAGGAATTCGTCCGCCTCCACATTTTTCTTCCTCATGTTCCAGCCTTGTGGGTTTTTCGTGGCTTCTTGCGTGGCCCAAGGTCGATAAGCTTTGGGCTATGGCTTGACGATGTTCTTTTTGGCACGGTCGATCCCGCTAATGCTTGGGTGAAGCTGTCAACAGCACATGGATATGCCTTGCCGAGGTTGAGAGCTGTGAAAACTAGGTTGGTCTTGAAAGGGATTGAACGCGGGGTTGAGTTTGGATACCTAGTATATGCAAACTTCAGGTGAATAGTTGAGGCTGTTTGCGCAAGTGGAATAGATTCCGAGTTGAGAATAAACTTTCTATGGTGTATATTCAGGATATTGAGGCTTGCATCCAACAAGTCGACCTAGGAGAACAAGACATCCCATCAAAGAGTATGTCACAGCTCTTCTCATTCTTCGTTGCACAGTCTCCCCAAAGACCTCCGGTCCCTTCCAAAAGACGGGATAGTTATCATGAGACCAACAAGCTGTCATCACAGAGAGAAGCATTCCCACTGTACCCAATGCGCCATCCTTCTTGTCCATGATCAAGCTGATCATATTGCGAAAGAAGACCTCTTTGTCCCCATCACCAGGTTCAGTCCATTCCCTTACGATGAGATCAATGTCCTTTCCCGCTTTCCCTTCGTCCGTCTTGTCTACACGCATGTATTGGTGGATCGTATACCGTGGTATGGTGATGATCCCATCATCTTTTGAGAAGATGGCTGTGTGGTCTCCGACTGTCACAAGAGCATAGCCTTGGACGACTTGAAGGTATTCAGTGTGAGTCTCGTGCCAGTGAAGACCTGTGCCTGGTGTGTTGTCACCGGCTCTCAAGTAGATATCAACGACTCCCGGCTTGTTTGTTTGAGATGAGAAGTCGATGCCTCCAGGTGGGATGAAGAGCTTGTCTTGGTCTCGTGTGACTGTGCGGGTCATGTTGAATTGCTCTTGATCTTCGAGTAGCTTCGGATGAGGATTTGCGTGCAACATAACTCTGGAATATTTCTCCTCATGAGGTGGTAGGCCATTAATTCTGACTTATATATCCTTCTATAAAATCCGTCAGCACGTCGGCGACTTTCGATGTGATGCGGGAAGCATTACGCCGATCGAGTGCTTTTTCCGGTTCAATCCGGAAGAAGGCGCCAACACAAAGCAATCAACGACGGAGAATCATCGTAGGTAAACTTAAACATTACAGTTTTTAGTTACTCTCAGTGTTTGAGGATTGCCTGTTCAATTGACTCTTGTCAAGAGTAGAAGTATGTCGTTAAATCCACTTACCCTACAAATGAACAAAAGCATCTATCTACTGCTCATGGCCAACACTTCTTAATCCATCTCTTAACTTGCTAATTCTTGGTGAATGCATAGTATAACAACTCTCAGTTTGTCAGTTACTGGATCAATGGACCTTTTAAAAAGCCTGTGATAACAGCTTTGGCTCGCCAAGCTGTCATTTCTTCCCTCACACCAGTACCCCTTTGTGTGAGCCAGCACAAAGCCAAGAAGACATAACGTAACACCTCCGGGCCAGAAACTATGCGATATTTTACTGTGTATCCGGATGAACCAGTGCTTTTACTCAACGTCGTTCATATTGCTGGATCGGCCATAAATCTGGTTACCATCATCGCTCAACCCGCAACCGCATGATTTAGATGCTCTGGACAAACTCACAGTCATTCCCACCATGAACAGAATCTTGGTGCGCACTCAACTGACGTATCTGAATTGAGCCTTTGGCGTCGTAGAGTACAGACTGTCAGCCCAAGCAGTCATATCAGCGTCCTTCAGTACGAACCTGTCTAAGCATTTGTTTGCGACATAGCCCAGCGACCTTGATCAGATGGGTACAATTGATGGTTGAGACCAAAGCTTAGTCGCGCAACACGCAAAGGACAATTTGGCCCCAGGATCGTCAAGTCCGGACTCATATGTCGTTCATGTAAGTTCATAAGATAATAACATGCCGTCTCGGTTGGACGATGATCACTTACACAATACCTTATCGAGGATGGCCAGATTGCGCACTAGGCTGTTTATAACATAGAATACGTTTTAGAGTATTCTAAACGTATTCGAGCTTGCAAAATACAAAGAGAAAACCGCGTATGGTATCCGGTCGCTTACAGCTGTGACAGCTGAAACGGCACGGAAGTACCGAAGAGAATAGCTGATCACCTAAACCTTTTTCGTTGAAGAATCTTCAACGGCATGACACTAGAACTGCGACAACTGAGAAAAAGCAAAGAGAGGTTGGGGTTCTTTGCACTGGAAGAGAATTGATCGTCATTGATGTCTTGGATTGATCATGTCGATATGGGATAGACGTGGGGGTTCGTCTACCCCAGTTCAAAGAGGTTCCATGATCCTCAATTTGTACGGGAGCTGGTGACGAAGTAAAACCACACTATTTCGTTCAAAATATTGAGATGTGTATCAGGATAAACCTGGGTCTTTGGCATTGTTCAGCCTAGCTGGCGACAATCGGGTGAAAGTCTATTGACAACCTGCAACCACAGAGCATCTACCCCAGGCGTCACATTCTTCATGGAGTCGAAATGCCCTATAGCTCAACACTCTTTCTTTAGATCCCGGTTATTCAGTTCTCACTCCACTCCAATCTCGGCTGATTGCCATGAAACTCCATTCAGATCTCCTACTCATAGTATCCTGGATGTGCGGAGGACAGACTTCTGCTACTAGTCTACAATCATGGCGCAGTAGGCTTTGAAGCACTGCGCAAGACGGGAAAAGCGCCTCACTGGTCTGAAAGGGACACTATGTATATGGCCCACACTGTCATAGTCACTTTCCATCCAGACTGAACGACCTGGTTCTATGCTGAGGGGAGAACGATTTCACCATCGGGACCAAGGAGATCATAGTTACCCCTTATGACATGAGAAGCTATGACGTCCACATGTCTGAACGCTTGTATGATAAGGGACTTCACTCGCTGTGATATCATTAGGTATGCGAACACTTCTGATAGTTTGTAGTCCAGGTCTGGGCGATGAAATGGAAATGTGAATTCCTGACTAACGGCGTCCGTGAACTTGATAGGAGTCTTTCACATCTTACCACGCTTCCTGCTGATGCATTTGTAGAGTTCGTGTGTGGGGAATGTTGGATATCTTCTGTCGTAGTATTTCCTTCGATCTGAGCATTTTGCTGTGCTTTCTTCCCGACTGTCTTCTGGTACCTGTGCCCTTGATCCACCAGCTCAGCACTTGATGCCACTTTACGAGTAATGACGCGTCTATGCTCAGCGCTGATATCCGCTTCTGATTAATCTCTAATGTGGCCCTCTTGGAACATTTGCCTAGCGATTTCACTTCATAATGGCTCCAATCGGGTTTGGGGGTCCTGTCCGATCCCATTGCCATTCTGAGGCCTCCTCACTCAGCTCGGCCACTGTCAAACGAGCTCGCGCAAGATTTATACCCATAGCAAGTTTCTCCTTGTACCAAATATCCGCCATCTTTTTCTTCAAAGCCTCTGTGGCCTCAGTTGGTGAGGTTGCTATCTCTGGTTGTTTCTCAGCTCTGATCTTTGCCGAATTATGGTCGTCGACGTGACCATCTCCTGGATCCTTGGTGATGGCTGCTTCTTCGCCTGGCGAAGGCGCCCATTTTCTTTCTGATGGCTCCATGTTTAACGATGAGGTATCTGGAGAATCATGCGAACTATTCGCGTCGAGTGTTAGCTAGGTGTTCACTACCCTTAACATCCTCTAAGGAAGTTCGTCATTACAAGGCCTATAATTTCACTCTACTAGGTAGTTAAATATCTGGAAGGTTACTTATTAAAACAATTAAGTACTGTATAATTTTAACGGATCTGGAGATCGAGGATTAAATTTAGTATTGTTCGGCGTTTAACTATATAAAGAAAGCAGGATAGCCTGGTATTTTTGTACTGCCTCTTACGCTGCAGATTACTCGCGCTAAGTTATCGGTATAGTTACAGTCAACGAGTCAAGACGGAATAAGTATCAACTAGGAAAAGCTGGCAGGTTTAGAAAGGCAAGACAATCAGGTAAATTGCCCAGTTCAACCTCGTGGTGCCCGACATAATCCAGCTAAGCTGTCAAGTCTATTTCTTGCTCATCGTAGGAACGTTCGATGGACCCTTTGGATTCCACAGGGAGAGGCGCATGAGAACAAACCGATACTTGTTCGTTGAAGTATGGTGAATTCTTGGACGGAGTTTCGTTTATACTACTTTGGCCGCTCATTAGCGCCAACTCGATCTCTGAGCTATTGGTCGGAGGGGAGTTGTTGTCAGATCTCTCCGGAAGCTGATATGCAACCGTCGTGATGACCATAAAAAGCATCTATTGGAGTTATCCACCTTGGAAAGTATCCGATAAGTGACAGCGGGAGCAAGACTGCTGAGACTAGGCAGGTAAGCAGGCCTAAACCCTACAAATGGTCAGCTATATGCTTCTGTATCTTGTTTCGGAATATTCTTTGAGACGACGTCTATATCATGCCAATAGCCGTAGCTTGTGAAGTGAAAGGTAAGATATAGGCCGGCTCGTGGTCTCGCACACAGTCAGCACACTGTAATACCCCACACTAACCCCACTAGCTCAAATTTGTGTAAGTGAGGTAGGGTAACCGAACCTGAAAAGTTCTGTAGAAATAAAAGTGATCGGCTTACTCGTCTGGTCGGCATGCTTATCAACCACGTTATCAAAAGTTTCCGTGCTGGGCACCACAAATGAACAGGGGAACCTTTCTAGGGGTCACGGATTAATGTTACAGCGTTCCGATTATTAACGAAATCCCACCTACTTGTCTGATATATCATATGACACGCAATCTTGCGAAAGATTTGTGCTTTTTTGTCTCGACATCCCATAGCCATGGAATCACCTGATGAAGCGCCATACTTTTGCATGGCGGATACAAGATGTCGTCTCTGCCAGTTCGAGTTGGAAGAAGACGACTTGGTCATCGCACGTCTGTTAGTCCGATCTGTGTAATATTAGCAATGGCTCACGTAAAGATAGACATTAGGGGTCAACGATTTTCGATAGAGTTTAACCTCCGTATGGCCGACACTATACACGATAGTTATAAATGGATCAATTTGCACACTTATGCCAGCCCTCGATGCATGGCAGAGGGTCGCCATATACCTTTCTTTCACAACGACTGTTTTTGCTTCAGGCTCTACGACATCTCGGATGCTCTGGTCGCTGCTGGAGACTATACTTTCGACCCTCCTGCATACGAGAGGAACAGGCGCTCTCACCGCATCAAGCGTCTTCTGGCTCCAAAGTTGAGGGACGAACTTCAAATTAGACTTCCGGCTGAGACATTAATGGCTGTAGCTGGACTTCTTGTCCGTGAATGTACTGTCATCACGGCAGAAGAACAGTCGCTAGGGATCAATGTCTCTAATATAACCGTTGACATTACACAAGATATATACATTAGTTACACTACTATCGATGGCGTACGCTATGTGAAGAGTATTGGCAACACGGTATCAAAGCTTTATAACGAAGATCACCCTGGGTTACTCAGCAAGCAGGGAGAACCTGTCGGCAAGATATGGATCGCTGAAGATCATCGTGGGATCCGTTCTGTAAAATTCTGTCCTGCAGGTGCCTCATTAGCAGGACCTACACCAATCGTGAAGTCGTAGTGGAGAGCCATCTCTACTCCGTGTGATGTTAAAAATATCACAATTAAATCTGACGTAAGTGCCATCTGCGCATGTCAAGTTCCATGTTAACATCAGGCTAGGGTCTCAAATTGAGAGACATTCTTATTTATAATGAGGCGATACCAGATGACACCAGCAATTATGTTGGTTGGGCGAACCCTGAACATCCAAACGATGTCATTGATATCACGACGTTCGATCAAGTCAATAGCTTTCCCGAGAGACTTCAGATGACGTTCTTCAATTGCAATACCAATGGTATAACCGGATACACGGCAGTGACTGGCGGAAGCTCCGTTGCAATGATTCATGCTCATGAGAATGATAGTACTGGCTTTTATGCAGATGTGGATGCTGCTTATCCGCGCGGCTTCTTTATCCATATGCCACTTGACGATGGAGAATTTGTGACTGAGATATATCGAAGATATGCACTAGCAGCAGGAAATCGGATATCGGTCTGTCTCGTGGTAAGATACCAATCGATTACTTTCTGGCATTTGGTTGTATTTGTGACTAACATTGCCGCGGTAGTTCATTACGAATAAAGGTAGAAACACCCTCTTTGGAACAAGCGGCCCACCGGAATCTTGCCTAGTGCTCGATAAGATTCTAACGCCTGCACCAAATGGAACGCAGATCTGGTTCAACGATTTAACGTCGGTGCACCCGAAGTCGCTCAGATATCTTGCATTTGATGAACTTGTGCCGCCCATTCAGCGTCCTTCCCCCCCCTCACTTATACCAAACCCTCCGTACTTCTGGACCCAGAACACTGAGCCATGGTTCGTATCATCATGCAGTATGGAAGGAATTGTGGATATGACTCTCTGCAGAGATACAGCATTTGATCATCGACCAATCACCGGAATTTTGCTAGAATATGAAAATGGTCACCGGGAATGCTTGGGCCAATTCCGGTTTGATAAGGCCCTCAAAAAGGTGCGAGTGGAGCATATAACGGACCTATATATTGGCAGCTTGAGGACCACATGTTCATACCTCTATATTGCAGACGTTACCACCTCTCCACCACATGACTATGGAGGCCTGTCTTGGATGCGAGTTTCTCGACATGGTACACTTGAATGGTGGTCGTCTCTTCGTCATTCCATTGTGCGCTACACATCTACTACAGGGCAGCTCACCAACTTGGAAACATGATTTTGAAATAAGAACTATACTAAGCAAAAGCAAGTATTTTACAACAACCTTATCCGATCCTGTCCCGGGTGTAGTAGGTGACGCCTCGTCGAGAACTGATCCATGCCGCCTTTCCTTTGTATGTGACTTCCCTCCAGTCATCTTTGGTTGTTCTCCTCTTCTGGCTCCCATTGACATCACTGAAAAAGTACTCAGTTGACCTTCCGAAGTGAGCAACCCGACTGACTTGAACTTTGATGAACTGGTCACTGACAGAAGACATCTGCCCATATTCCCCAACAGACGAGGCTGGATTCTGCGCATAGTATGACGCTCCTGATGGATCGGCCACACCATGCGTTCCACTTGTATATTCGCCCTGCCCTGTAGCAGCTTGATATCCTTGCTGCACATCTGGATATCCCCCATAGCCAGCTTGACTGTATCCGATCTGCTGATACCCACTTTGAGGGAGAGGTTGACTCGGAACAATAGGCGCACGGCGAAGCGGAGGATAGGCTTTGACGGTTTCCACAAATCTCGTGAGCGCTCCAGCCTCATAAGAGTCCGCATCCAAGGGAGAGGTCAATTATTCCTGGCACTTCATTCTTGCACTGGGGAAATTTCATGAGAATTTGAAAATTTTGTCGGCAATCTGTTCATGGTGTTGGTGATTCGAGATCCTTATCACGACCGAAATCGAATAGAAAGCAGTTCACATGCAGTAAGTGTTACAACCCCAGCGGTTACGTCACGTGTATCCCACAACCTTCATCACATAATCACCAATCACGTCAGGACCGCATCGCTCCCCTACACGATCGGCTTCATACTATACACACAAGCCGAGTATATAGAACATATTCATTAGCACTTTCATAGACTTTAGCTCACCAGGTATCAATAAAATTTCTTTACCTCAATAAGTCTCACTCGCTCTATTGACTATTAAGAGACGTGACACTTCGCACCACTCAGCATCACACCCTACGTTATCTGCCAACATAAACCTAGCACGGATTAGTTTATCCCTTGGGAAACCCAACCGTCACAGTAAGCGCCGACATAGTGAGTATGTTCTTAAATTGGATTTTAGGCGCGCGCCACGTTTCGTGGGGATTCAACTTCAAATATTTCGGCTATTTCCACTTCAGAAAGCGTATCGCCCAGGCGGGGCAAGTTTGGCCGCTGAAAACTGAATCACTCACTACCAACAAGATCCCCATTTCGGTTCTATTTGCCCGGCTAGGTCACACATGACAATTCTTATGATTCCCTATTCTGGAGATACCGGGCCCTTTTCTACTCGTGAATAAAACATCAACAACAGCGAGAACGAAATGTTTGACACGACAGCAATTTAGAGCGTCACAGCGCCATTCCGAAAAGGTTAATTGGGTAGCCCAGTGTCGGTGGCATTGCCCAGTGCGACTCAACATCATGGCAACACCATGGCCCCAGGACAGGACTTCTGGGCACTAAGGTCATGGATGAAGAATGAAACGAGCCCGTGCTATCGGCTTAGCCTAAGTCTAGAGCGTGAGGTCTACCTAAAGGGCCCTGATAAAGGCAGAGACTTCTTTTGCCTGATAAGTGTAATATCTATCTGTTGCTCGCCTTCGGCCTCTAGCAAAAGTCTCCGTTTCTCGGTCGTCACGTAAAGATTGTCTTGTCTATTCATCTTACAATACTTATACTTGGACATTGCCACTTTACCATACGCCGAAAAGTGAAGGGAAAATTTGGTAAAGAAGGTAAGGGTTTTAGTAACCACAGCCGACGTTCCGTTATCCTTCTTGTCCCGCCCATTAGATCAGCGGTCGAATCGTAACTTGAATTTGCTTCCTGCAGGTAGTCTTGCCTTTTCCAGAACGTCCCTATCTCTCATCCCTCATCTTCCATCCTCAATCGTCTCACTCCGGCCATCATTCATTTTGGCGTTTTATAGCCACCCCGGTGGGTTATCATCTAGATTGGCGGTCAAAGAGTAACTTCGATCACCTTCTACAGGCATTGCCTAGCTATTCGCTAACTGGGGCTGTGGCCGTGTAAGTCAAATATTTGTACATAACCGTATCCTCAAGTTCGGCAGAAGTTTATGCACTACATCTCGAGGCATTTGTTATGAACATGTCAGCTCAAAACGTTACTATTATGACTGAAGACGTATTTTGTGAACTGGGTGGGTACTTTTCCCTGTTGACATGACCAATAGCGGAAGTATTGATCTATTACAGAACAACTCTTCTGCCCCTAACTACCGCTATATCAGGAAGGGTTCGTTACAAATTGGGGGACCTCAAGGTCAAATGTCAACTGACATGGCTTTCCACAGATCATATAGAGGAACCAGTGTCTAAGAGAGACTTAAAGGCGTGCACCAACTTAGCACTCATCCCCGCTGGCCGTGCCAACGATGCTCATATTCTCGCAGAAGATGAGAATAATATCATTGTTGGGTTGTACGAATCATTCACATGTTGCTGAATGGCAATAGTCCTCGCAGGAGAATGTATAAAAGCAACCAATGCACTTTAATATTCAAACTGAAATTATCAAGATCTATTCTGGTGGTATAACAACGCTAGTCATGACAACAAATCATACAAAATCAACCATAATAACCGTTTTACTCATCATTACTCCACTTCCAGGCTTCCGAGATAGCCTTCCAGTACTGCTCAGGATGCTCGCGCATGTGTCCAACATGGTCAGTATCCTTAAAAAGCTCTTGCCGAGTCTCGTAGCCTCTCTGCTGGGACTCAGCAATATAGCCCTCGATATCCATATGAGAAATAATCTGATCCTCCTTGCTGTAAAGATACAATCGCTTGGCGTCTAGTGTCTCGTAGTTTGTATCATCCACAACTCGCAGGGCGAAAGCGCCAGAAGGTTCTCCACCTGTGAGCTTCTTGATAACAACGTCCAAGGTAAGAACAAAACCCCAGATGCCCTTGGTGATGACAAAAGGCCAGGGGAAGAATTTGGCGGTGCCGAGGGCCATGGCGTGGGACCATTGACCCAATCTCTCCCACGACCAAAAGGGGTTTCCGGGCGTTGAGTCAAGGACAAGAAGTTGATGAGGCATCTGTCTACCATTTTTATCCCTGAAAGCCTTGAGCGTAGTGGCGTAGCTGATAGCGCCCGTGTTGGACATGCTGTGAATAAGGATAGGCGCTGTCTTTTCATCGAGAAGTCCATCGAGGCTGTCGATAACATGTTGCATAGCGCGTGTTCGCGTCTCAAGACCCGTAAACATGGCGTCGGAAATAGGACTCAAAATGATAAGAATTTTCGAATGAGGGAATAGAGCGCGGTAGCCCTCTGCGTATTTCCCAACATGTCTGGCAAGTCCATCGCCCCAGCCGTAGATGACAACAGCAGCTGGATGATCCGCGGGTGTTTTCTCTGATGTCTCTTCGCTGACGAGAAGTTTGGCGTTGATGGTTTTGAAGCCCGGAAGCTCGGGAAGTTTTTTGCCCGACATTTTTTCTTTAGTCTATGTTATAGAGAGACTTCTTATAAAGGAAGCTGGCTGTGTTGACAAGGAATTGACAAGGGAGAGATCCATGGGAGGCAGGGACATTTTATATATCTCCTAAAACCAAACTAAGTTTTTTAGTTTTTAAGGATCGAGTGCTGACATGGTTTTTTGGCCTGTCAGATTCTATGTTGGGGACCGCGTGTAAAGTCCGTCGGACGTTTATGCGGATGAATTGCTGCTTTTGGGTATATCAGCGGTCCCAGCAAAACATCCTTCAGCCCAACAATATGCAGCCGAGGTTCGTGGAGGTTTTTTATTATAAATTTGGAGATGGCGTCGGGGACTTTTATATAATATGTTCAATGACGTGTACATGTACTTATGTGAGTTTAATGAGTTTACAAAGCTGAATAGGACGGCAATTGAAGGACGGTACAACGTTGATCCACTTGTCAGCGGAGATTTAGAGACTGGAAATCAAGATGCACAGATCAGTCTTGGCATGCGCCAAGTGTTGAATCTAACGACGAGCCATCTTCTCAAGGGCTATCGTGGTTGCGTGTATCTTACTCAGCCTTCTTTCAGCCTACACATATCCAATCATCCAGTTGGTTGAGTGTCATACTGAACAGCAGCTGTTGGCTGGTAGACAGCACCCAGAGTAAGCTGAGAAATCAAATGTGCCAGAAGGCTGCTCATAATGGATGCCAGGAGTCTTGAGGGTGATACTACAAGTCATACTTACAGTCATCTTTGAATACTTTTGCTTGAGCGCTTATCGAAACGACATGACATCAAGTTACATCAAAGAAAATAAAATCATCAAGACAGGACTACTCGCTGTGCCATAATCAGCATCATCTCACTCGAGGAAGAAATTTAAAGTCACAACTGGTAAGCGTCTTGCGTTGCATTTTTCAGAAATGTCTGGGCTACTTGAAAACTGCAAAGCGCAATCAAACCATCATTTTCTATCTGTCTATTATTAGAAGTCTAGTGCAGTTGAGTGGTGACATGTAAAGCTCTCAGCTTTCAATTTTCGTAAAACAATGCAATGCATCCTGGTATATCCTCAAAAATCAAACAACGTCCAAGTACACTTTTAGAAAGTAGCCGTGATCTTCCATCCAACCCGGTGGACTCTTGCAGCAAGGATGAAAGCGGTGCCAGCCAGGCAGAAGACACCAGCAAAGATTTTGACTCCAAGCCAGCCAGTTGGCCTCTCGAGGATAGCGCCGTTGATAGGGTTGGTGGTGAGTCCACCGATCGAGGAGACGAAGAAGACGATGCCGCTACGGAATCCAATTTCCGGAAGTGGCGAGATCTGAGCAACGAGCGGTGCAATCAAGGAGACGTATGCGCCGGAGCAGAAACCAAACAAGGCCGCAAAGGCAATGATACCGTCCTGCGTGTTGCAAGGGATCCATAGGGCAAGAATCCAGATAGCGGAAAGGAAGCCGACAATGATGAAGATGTTATAACGGCCCATCTTATCACCAAGAACTCCTGAAATAACACGACCAAAAAGACTGGCAGCGTTGAGGATAGGAATCAAATACTGAACGAGGTTCGGGTCCACACCAGCATGAAGTGCTTGAACGGGCAGGTAGTCGATAGGAACGAAAAGTCCGTAGGTGAAGAAGAAGAATCCGAGCATGCAGAAGATGAACTCTGGTTCATAGAATGGCCTGAGCATCTGGGCGCGGGTGACCTTCTGAGGGTTCGGTGGGTGGATCGATCTGACGGTGAGGTTGGCGATGATGAGGAGGCCGAGAATCATAAAGGCACAGATTCGCATGGACCAGCCGAAGCCCACTTGCTTGATGAGGCGGGTGACCATGATGGGGAAGATGACACCGCCGATACTCGATCCGGTTGCAAGAATGCCAAAGGCAGCTCCTCTATTGCTGTCAAACCATCCGTGAATCGTCGAGAGGGCTAAATACGTTAGTCGAGTTTTGAGATGGGAAGATGGGGACAAGACGAGGCTTACCAGGCTGAAAGATGGCTGAGACACCGATGGCGGAGCATACACCCTGAGACAGAAGAATCTGGTAGTACTCGGTACTAATGGACGCCATCATGATACCGAAGACATGCATGATGCTTCCAACGAAGATAAGCCACCGCGGCCCATAGCTATCGTAGAGCTTTCCGATAATCGGACCCATGCCCATGATAAAGAAGATCTGCAGCGAGGGGATCCATGCGATGGTACTCGACGAGTATTGCTTCAAAAGATCGTTTTGGTAGTATTCCTGAAAAGCGCCCACACCTAGAATAATTAGTCAAAGCCACAGAAATACACAGCATGAAACTTACTGTTGATCCAGCCAAAACTGCAAAACGAGGTACACCATGCGCCAAGAACAACGAGCCAAGCTGTGAGACCACCATCAGGCGCGCCACTTCCAGCTGGCGCAGCTGCAGGCTCAGGCTGTGTGGTACCCTCCTCAAGATCAGACTTTTCGTTGTTGTAGCCAACCTGATTCTGAAGCGTGAGCTCCGAATTGCGAGGCGACGAAGGTGCAGTAGTGTCTTGAGCAGCCATGATGAAAGATGTTGTTTATCTGATCGAGGGTTGCGCTGAGGCTCAAGTTGTTGACATGGGCGTGGAGATTTATAAGTACCAGATGCACGGGAGATCTGAGCCTAAAAGAGGTCCATAACACGCCTTATGGAGCTCCATATTCACGGTCATTCGTTCAAAGGAGTTAATTTCGCGACGCGAGACTTCCAAAGGCCGATGATGGTGGATTATTTGCAGCCGAGCTCAAGTCTCTGATTCGTTTCTTCGGTCTCGGACCTTCTACCCCCACCGAAGCCGACGCTAGTATATTGATAAGATCGACCGCAACGAATTAGAGCTCGTCATTGATCTCTCCATCTCATAATATCCCGGCCACGGACATAATCCCCGGTGAATCTCAGCTTACAAAGACCGAATCCTCATCCGTAAAATACCACAGTTCTCGGCCTGTCAATTATCGGTCGGTGTAATACCATATCATGTCTTCTCGGCCCCGAACTCGGTCGTGCGCCGTATGTCATCGCCGAAAAGTTCGCTGCGACAAGAAATTCCCATGTGCGCAGTGTGTTCGGTCTGGCTTTGAGTGCTCGTATCCGCCTGCGGGGCCGCCTGCACGACGGGCGAAGAAGACGACGATTAATGATGTTGCAAGTCGCATCTCGCAGATGGAGAAGACGATTGAGGCGTTCAAGGCTGGACAAGATGTGTCGCCGCAACCGACGGTGTCTGCAAGTTCAGTGACGCCTGCGAATAGTGTGCCTACGCCGGCAAGTACAACTGCAGATGTTGAGGTCAGAGAGAGGGTTGGGGGTTCACACAATGTGGAACGGAGTTCTCGTGAGGGTCTCTTGTTCAATAAGGGAAAAAGTAGTCATTATGTCAACGAAGTTCTCTTCTCTCGAGTGATCGAGCAGGTAATGAATGATTCATTCTGTATTTTATGTCTCGCATTAACACATGATCAGGAGGACGACGTGCGAATGGCCTTGGCAAGCCCCAGAGATGAGCCACCTCATGATGCCAACTCTCCAACATGTCACTTGAATCCCATGGGGTGGTTATCAGCTGGTATAGCATCGGTATCCACCGCCATTTATCACCCACAAAGACGCGTAGCCATCCACCTATGGAAAGTCTTTGTCGATGGTGTTGATCCATATACCAAAGTTCTGCACATCCCTACCGCCGAGACAGTCATCTACACAGTCACCAGCGACCCAAACAAAGCTTCGAATGAAAATTTGGCACTTTGTTTTGCCATCTACTACGCTTCCGTGACGGCCATGCCCCCCGATGATGTGCTCAATATCACTGGGGAGGACAAAAAGCAAGCTCTCCTTCGATACAGGATGTGTTTGGAGCAGTCTCTGGCCCAAGCAGATTTCCTCGATAATCCTACCATCACTCTTCTTCAAGCGCTGGCAATCTATGGGGCAAGTACATCATGAAAATCAAAAGAATATCACTAACATCGCTGTAGGGCTCAATGCGTGTTCATACCTCAGGTCGGGCGGTATGGATCATGAATGGCCTTGCGCTCCGATCTGCACAATCAATAGGTCTGCACAGAGATGGCAGCAAACTCGGCTTATCCCCCTTTGAGTCAGAAATCCGACGTCGAGTATGGTGGTATTTCCAAGAGCGAGACGGGAGAGGCGCTGAGGACTATGGACTGCAGAATCCATCAGGCATTAGTCCAGTATACAGTGTGGAGCTGCCACGGAACTTACACGATAGTGACATCTTCCCCGGCATGAAAGAGCTTCCACCCTCAAGGCCAGATTGGACGCGAATGACACTGCCGCTGTGCTGCAATCATGCGTCGCAGGCGTGGGCTCAACTCTTCCAGATGAGCTGCTCTGCAGATGGCATACCAGATGAAGATGTACGAAAGCGGCTCATCAAAGATGCCGTTGAAAAGGTTGAAGGAATTCTGCAGCGTTGCAACCCCGTGATACCGGAACAGAGAATGACGATCCGAACCGCACGTCTGATTCTCTGCAAAGTGGACGTTGTCTCTCGTCGCCAATGGCAGATCCTCCGCTCACCCGACGATCGCCAACCGCCAATGGCCACAGAAGCCGAAGTCACTGAAGCAGTCGAACTCCTCGAACTCTCCAACATCATGTGGCGAGACGACGACCTCCTCGCCTTCCAGTGGCTCAGCCGCTCATATCCCCAATATCACATAATGCTCTTCATCCTCCGTCACTTATGCGTATGTCCCCGCGGAGAACTTGCCAAGCGAGCTTTTGCAGCTGTGGAGATTCAACTTGAGAATTTCAAGACGAGTGAGAATAAGCCGTTGAATGGGTTGAAGTGGACTGTTCTCACGACGTTGAGAGAGAGGGCGTTTTTGTTGATGCAGAAGGTTGAGAGGGAGAATGTAGATGTACAACATGATGAGAGAAGTCAGCAGATGGGGTTTCAGGGGAGTGGGGAGGCGATGCAGAGTGCGAGTGAGGTTGCTGTTCCGGATTGGAATATGATTTTGGAGGAGTTTCCGTTAGATATGGAAGACTTTTCGTTGATTTTCTGAGGAGTAAGGAGAACGTTTGTATGATTACATGAAGGAATATGACTTGAGCCAACGTTGATACATGGTCACAAAACAAAGATATTATATTCTAGATTAAGCAATGCCAAGGTACACTATCTTAAGACGACCTACCCTGCCATCACCAGAGCCACTGTTTGAATTCTTCCACTCATGTCCATACACTGTTATACCCAAACTTCATCAAGCCTTGAGGCCTCTGTCTTTCTGGGTTCTCAGAAAGTGTTTCTTCTTCTTCTTCCACGTCTGCGAGTTCCTATCTAGTCAGCTCTTGCGGTTTCGTCAAATGAATGAACGGCTTACGTGCGGCCCAACGAAAGTAGTGCTGTTGCCAAAGAGAAACTAGTCCCATGACTAATTGAAGGATGCCGAATATGATAGAGATGACGACTTCAGCAGAAAGGGTTCCTTGGGCCATGGCTCGATGTGTTGATCAGACAGATTGGATAATGATTGGATGATGAAATTGCTTGTTTTAAGGTTCGCTGGAGAGAATTGATTGTGTCTGAGAAAGACTGTATTGAAACTTTTTGGGTGAAGTTAGCCATTATGAACAAACAACTCCGCCTTTTAATGGTATGACTTCTACGGATAGTAGTTTTGCAGCTGCTAGCATACGTCAAGAACTCGGGGGCTGTTTGTAGTTCTGCACCTCAGTCATCACCGGCTGTTGGTTCCTAACCATTACCCCTTACAGCCGTGAGCATACGCTGAGGAATCCAGGTCTGTGTTATAGCTTATATCTAAGCCACCTACGGTCGCTAATAGTTGTTGGCTGCCAATTGATACCCCTGCTAAAACTGGAATAGTAGTTTCGCAGCAGCCAGCATACGCCAAGAAATCCAGGTCTGCATTGTGACTCGTATCCAAGCTTAACAGTTGTTGGCTGATACCCCTGTCAAGGCTGGAATAGTACTTTTGAGTCATGGCGTCTGAAAAGACCCCCGACCTCAACAATTGGCTGTGATGTTTTCTATGTCTTAGAATACGTACTGAAAAATTGGAGTTTTGGAGTTCAGGCCGCCCTGAAATAGTACTTTTGCGAAATGCAATAAGGCAGCCTGGCGGCTTATGCTTGGATCTTGACCGCCACCTGTTGGCTGCTTGGGCTGATTCGGATGGATTTTGTCATTGCCAGAATAGGACTTTTTCGCTGTCACGGCTTTGATCTTTTTATATTTTAGATAGTCTTCGACAAAACCGCGTTCTTCTTCGTCTGTAATCGCCTTTTATAATTTTCTTCGCCCCCCCCCCTCTGTCATAGAAATCCAGCATCAACATGGATTCTCTAATCTCCTCACAATATCTCTTCCATGCACTCCATCCACTCGGCGAACCTGGCGTAAATGCAGAGCCTGGTGGCTTAACTCAGCAGAACCAAGCGCTGATTGGACACTTTGCTCCCGCTGAGAACCATGTATTTCCTCCCCCAATTCTCTTGCATCATCATGGTTCTCATCAACCTCAAAATGTGTCTGCCGTCAACAATTTCGATGCTCAATCTATGGCCCCTCCCCCGAAGCAACGAAGGAAGAAGGCTCCGACTCTACGCGCCAAGGACTGGGAGCCGTATAAAGCCCGAGTCCTCGAACTCCATGACACACAGAAAAAACCTCTGAATGAAGTCAGGGAGATAATAGAGAAAGAATTTGGCTTTACTGCTGAGTATGATATTTGCCCCGGTTGAAAATATGCACAAACCCCTTTTAACTAAGTTACTTATACTATAGAATACGTCAGTATCGAACACGAATAACACAATGGGGGAAGGACAAGAACATCAAGCCAGCAGAAATGGCAGCTATTGTCAGAAAGAGACAACAAAGAAAGATTCTTGAAAGTGAAAAAAGAGAGCAAATATTCACAGTTAGGGACAGAGAAGTCGAACCACAAAAGATCGATCGATGGATGAGCAGACATGAAATTTCTCAAACACACTTGTATGCTCCTAGTCCCGCAGCGTGTAAGCCAATATTCACGATTTACGTATTGCAGCTGACACCAATTCGAAAGCTACTCCATCCGCCGTGGATTGCCGGACTGTGTCTGAAAGAGGTTCCATAGCTGAAAGTCCAGCTTTCTCAGAAATGAGCTTGAATTTCTCCTCAGGGGGCTCTACTCCAAGGGCTCTGAGCCCAGTGGCATCCCCTTCTACACAATCCATCGCGGGAACAATCCCAAGTTGGGGCAATACTTTTACTGGACAGAGTCCGGCCCCTATCTATCAAAGCCTTCCAGCCCAACCCCCGGCTTCAAGTTCTGTTCAGGCGCCTTCAAGTTCTATCTCGGTCCTACGGCAATATCGTTACCAGCAAGCTCAAGAGGAGTATCTACGACAAGAACTATCCATGGCAGAGACTATGTCCGTTAATGAACATCTTCCGACCCTTGATTTAGCGACCAGTCTGGCCCAAGTACTTATTGCACAAGGAAGATATAAATCTGCAGAAGAGATGATTCACAGGGTAGTGGAAGGCTATAAAAAGGAAAGCCAAAGCGAGAGTGCAAAGGCACTCGATGCTTTCGACCTTCTCGGGCGACTTTTTCTCCACCGGGGACTCTATAGTGAGGCTGAAAAACACCTTAGACGGACGTTCAAATCCAAGAAGGACGTTCTAGGAGAGGAGCATCCATCCACCCTGGTCAGTATGAGCCGCCTTTCGACGGCATACATATTTCAGAACCGGTATCTGGAAGCTGAAGAACTTGAGCTGCAAGCATTGGAGATAAGTACGAGGGTACTTGGTGAAGTGCATCCAGAGACGATGTTGCGTGAATCAAACTTGGGGCTTATATATACTCGACTGGGGCGACTACACGAGGCCGAGTGCCTGATACAACAAGCATTGTATCTAAGCAAAACATTGTTTGGAGATGAGCATACCCGGACGCTACTCAACATGAATAGGCTATTGTCTGTTTTTACTCACCAAGGGCTTTGGGACAAGGCAGAAATACTCGCGATACAAGTGGCGGATTTGGGAACGAAACTACTCGGGGAAGAACATCCCTCTACGGTCCAAGGTAAGGCTAACTTGGCTTTAGTATTTGAGAGTCAAGGGCGATTGTGGGAGGCTGAAGAGCTATGTGTTCAGGTGTTGATGACTAGGAAGACACTTGGGCAGAATCATCCCGACACTATTTCTTCCATAGACGATTTCATCAAAATGTACGAGAGACAGGGAAATTATAAGGAAGCTGCGGTGCTTACGAACAGAAGATTTTTTTTAGCGAGGGAAGGATACTGATTATTGATGAGATGTTTGAATTTTCTTTTTCTTTTTGAAGGGAATACCTAGGCAAACTTAGTCTATGGATGGCCGTAGGCAGATAACGCTAGCTGGCGGCAGGAGTTATAAAGCCATCTGCATAATATACAAAAACAAGTTGGAACAAGTTTAAACTCATAGTATAGGAGTCCAGGATGTTCGTGTGGTGACGATGCATCAAGGCAGTAGAACAATAGTCTGTTGTAGGACACTTTCTTATCAGCATTTATGCTATAGCCATTATTACGCATTATGGTATAATGTCTAAAATGTGAGCCGGACGTGTTATTTGTAGTTGAGACCTGTGGCTGAGAGCATATAATCACCACCCAGAGCTTAAGCTGTTCAACTGTTGTAGGTCACGCGACAGTAACAGTCAAAGAACAAGCAGTACCCATGTTCCAACGAGTCATGCTTGACTAATATTAAATAACGAAGTGACTCAGTTGTGAGGAATGCTGGCTGGCTGATGAATAAGGCGGTCGAGTGTATCAATGTAATGCTGACTGATGCTGATGCTGATGCTGATGTCGATGTCGATGATTAGAGCGCCCTACCCGAAGTTAATCGACGCCTCCCGTGTGTGAGTGGGTAAATCGAGACACAGTTTAGACTACCCTGTAGATTGACAAAAAGGGAAAACAACACGTTGGCAGATGTTTTCGCGTAGAAAAATTGTTAATCTTGGTAATTAGTCTCAAGTTAATATGAATAATATTTCAACATCGCCTCATTTTCACGAATCCTTCAAAATAATTCTGTAGGGCTGCTTCAGTTGCATAAGCGCTCAGCCATTCCTCCACCGCTAGAGCCAGTTGGGAAGGGTTCACTCTTTGGCTGCCGTCCCCTCTCGGCAGAACGAGGCAAGCCCAGGCCCATTCCAGGGCATCAGCCAATGCCAAATCTCAGATGAGCGGGGCTTGTTTTGGTATGGTCGTGGCCTGGACCTTGATTCGGAGCCTCCACTTCCACTCTCTCTCTAATCTTCCCGAGCACTCCATCCATCCATGACCATCCAATGCCATCCTTGAATGTTTGGTTATACGTCTTTATTCATTCCTCCCTCTCTTTACTTGTTTTGGTCACATATCATCCACCAACTTCGCCCGAGTCTTTGCTCTGGCTTGATAAACTATTTATTATATTAGCACCTCGCTTCAAGTCCCTTCACTCCATTGCGTCACGACGTCTCGACATCTCCTTGTTGCCTGTTGTGCGCGTCCTGTTGTGACACTCATCATCTCAACGTTTTTAACCGCCAAGCTTACGCCGCCCACGCATACGCATCACATCCCATTTCATCTGACCGCTGTCTTGCGCTCAACTGTCTTGCCGCCAAATCATCGCTTGAAGATCGTATTGCTACATCAACAGGGGCCCGAGGCCTCGAAGTTCCCAATGTCGAATAAGAACGAGGCCTTGTCCTCGATGGATCCCTTCTCACCTGCACATCAACCCGACGAGGGTTACTCCGAAGATCCTCTTACACCAACCGTGAATCAAGAGTTATCGACCGCCCTTGCTACGCTGCGTTCTCCCTCCGACTTGAGCACATGGCTTGTCGCGAACTCGTCGCTTCTACCCCTCCAGGTCAGAACAGGTACGTTGTGTTGATTGGATTGCTAAGCTCTGTTTGCTGACTATTCACAGAACTGACCATGGCGTTACTCGACAACCTGCCCACGTCCGTCATCGCCGAGATCGTCCACCGATTGAATCCGAGACTCTACATCGACTTTATTCAATACCTCCCCGCTGAAATCTGTCTTAAGATTCTAGGTTTCCTCGATCCCGTTTCCCTCGTGAGTGTTACGCAGACATGCCGCGCCTGGTACGAATTGGCACTTGACCGAAAGCTATGGGAGCGTCTATACTATATGGAGGGGTGGAAGACCATCATGAGCGAGATCGAAGCCTGCGAGACTAAGGTAAACAACGGTCTCGACCACTCGATCCGCCACCTCAACCGACTCCAGTCGATGCAGGACGCCCATCCGAACAAGATTCGCGCTGTTGTCAATTCTGATGAGGACCTCGAGATGACAGATGGTGACCGCACGCCTGGCCCCAGCGAGACCTTGGCCAGTGGAAGCATGTTCGGTAGCCCTTCTTCCTCCTTCTCGTCGAGTCGACCCGCAATCGTACCCATGGGCGACATGGACCTTGATGGTTTGTCGAGTAGGAACCCGAGCTTGGATCGAACACTTTCCTCATCTTCCGACAGCAGAGGAAAGCGTAAAGAACCCAGCGACGATACCGAGTCCTCTCTCGCTTCAATGTCGCTAGCCGATGCAGCCAACACATTACCACCATCATCATTATATATCTGGGATGTGGGTCGATCACGATATCGTATTAACTGGCGCTATCTGTACGGCATGCGACGGAAGTTAGAGGCGAATTGGGAGCTTGGCAAATACAGCACATTCCAGTTTCCTCATCCCAATTTCCCCGAGGAAGGACATCAGGAATGCGTATACGCTCTACAGTTCGACAAAGACTACTTGGTGAGCGGTAGCAGGGATCAGACCATGCGTATCTGGAACGTGCGCACCCGCCGACTTGTCCGACCACCTCTGATAGGACACATGGGCTCCGTCTTGTGTCTCCAGTTCGATGCTGACCCCGAAGAAGATCTCCTTGTTTCTGGAAGTAGTGACTCCAATGTCTTCATCTGGAAGTTTTCGACTGGTGAGCTGGTGCAGAAACTAACAAGAGCCCATCACGAGTCCGTTCTCAACGTGCGCTTTGATAAAAGAATTCTAGTTACGTCTTCCAAGGATAAGACGATCAAGATCTTCAACAGGCGCCCCTTGAGACATGGCGATTTGGGATACAACGGAGGCGATCTGGTCGGCCCAGTACCTGTGCACCTGCGACGGTACGGTTATGAGCCGGACCTGTCTCAGGAGCTTCCTGTCAAGCCTCCATTCACCATGATCGGTCGTCTGGATGGTCACAGTGCTGCTGTGAACGCAATTCAAGTTCGTGACAAGACTATTGTTTCTGTATCAGGAGATAGGCATATCAAGGTATGGAGGTGGCCAGATCAGGCTTGTACTCAGACGATTCCAGCACACGACAAGGGGATAGCGTGCGTGGAGTTTGATGGGCGCAGGATTGTGAGTGGTAGCAGTGACTGGGAAGTATGCATCTTCGATGCACCTACTGGTCTTAAGGTTGCTCAGTTGCGAGGACACGCACACCTGGTTCGTACTGTCCAAGCTGGGTTCGGTGATCTGCCTTACAGCACAACAGAAGACGAGGCAGAAGCCAAGGCGGTTGATGCTGAGTACTTCCGAGCGCTTGAGGCTGGTGAGATTGACAATACCATGGACCGAAGGCATAGGAGAGACCGTCGGGCAAATGCTGGAAGCTCTCGGCCTCAAGATGTTCAGGCATTTGGCGCCAAGGTTCCCCCTGGAGGTGGTGGAGGCAGAAAGTATGGTCGCATTGTATCTGGTTCCTATGATCAGAGCATCATTATTTGGCGACGCGACAAGGAAGGTGTTTGGAAGCCCGCAATCCATCTCCGACAAGAAGAGGCTGCTGCGGCTGCTCAACGTGAGGCTGCTGCCAGTTTGTCGAGCGCAACGTCGAACGTCGCGATGGCCGGATCTCTGGCTAGTAGGTCTTCACATTCATCGACCATCGTACCACGATCTCCGCCTACGAACGGCACTCCTCTCGGACCTTTGATGCTACGCGATCACCACGGGGATACCCAACGAACGGCAAACTCATATCAAGTGCTGATCGACCAGGCGGTACCCCTTGGCCCCAGCTCGTTGCAGCACGTGCTGGCGACATACCCAATTGCGCTGGCTCACCACTCTTACTTACAAACTGCCATTGAACGCGAGACATCGCCTTTGATCCGAGCCCAGCTTAGAGGGGTGGTAACGGATGCTTTGGCCAATCTCCAAATTCGCCAAATGCCAATGCGACAGCAGTCGAGTTCTGGTAGTTCTCACTTGTCTAGTGATAGCGGCCGTACCAACCCGAGATCCGGTCAAACGCCTCATGCGGTACCCGTTCCAGGAGGACCAGTTGCGCAACCTCCCGTCGTGGCTAATAACCATGCACAAGGTGCGCCTCCTGGACAACCCCAACCTCCGATTCACAATGGCCATCATGCAGGCCACCATCCCCATATCGCCGCGGCCGAGAACACGTCAGCACGAGTCTTCAAGCTACAATTTGATGCGCATAAAATTATTTGCTGTAGTCAAACTCCGACAATTGTTGGATGGGATTTCTGTAATAAGGATCCCGCATTAGAAGAAGCTGTCCGATTCTTTGCAACGGTCGATTAGATCTGCAATTTCGATACATAAACGTATATCCAGAAAGCATTCTTTTGAGCGAGGGAGTTGGGTTATATGGGCTTGGCAGGGTGTTTATCGAGAATAACTGCAGAATCACCAAGAGTTCCACTGGCTACAGTACCATGTCTTGTGTACAAGTGCGTACTGGACACTTGCGGATGCTCAAGATCGATGTTCTTGGACAGGTAGAAAATACAAGTTTAATGCATTCATAACAATAATGGAAGAGTGAAATGATGTGCTTGGGTGACCCTACGAACCTAACCAACGCCAAGACAAGCAAAACCCACGTAGACAACCCCGAGTAGCCTAACATGATCCAGCGACGCCCTTCGTTAACCAGCAACCTGCTTCACCTTATCCTCAGTCTGGGGAGGCTCGTCTACAAACTCTGGCACGACCTCATCCTGCAAGAAACCCGGCACAGCACCGCCCATCTCATGCTCCATCTCAACCTCCATCCCCAACGCCTCCAACTCAGCATCCAACTCATCCTCCTCCACATCCTCGGGAATGTCATAACTCCTCGCCAAACTCTCCTGAATCTCATTACCCACATCCATCAGATCCGCCATCTCATCCTGCAACCTCTCAATCTTATCAATGTCGATCTTTCCATACTGTTTCTTCAGCTCCTTATTCGTCGTCTTCATCGCATCGACCTGCGTCATCACGTTCTTCAAGTTATCCTGCATGTTGTTCGCCTGCTCCATGTTCCACACTTGACTCTCGAGCTTGTCCTTCTCTGCCTCATACGCTTTGCGGCGCTGCAGCACCTTGAGGGCTTTTTGCTTCATCGCTTGCTTGCCGGGTCCTTCGCGCATGCGGGATAGCTTTTCTTGGTAGGCGCCTAGTTCGGCGTTAAGGGCTTTGAGTTTGGTGTCGACGGAGGATATGCGGGTGTCGAGGTTGGTTATGGCGCCGTTGAGGGTGGGTTTTGGGCCCGCGGGCTTGGAGCCGAAGAGGCGGTTCATCTTGACGTTTGTAGGGGGTCTATGTTTGTGCAGAGAGGTTGTTGTTTGTAGTGGGAGAGTGTAGAGTGTAGATGCGCGGTGTGTGTCGTGGAGGTGGTGGTTGTAAGGGTCGGAAATGGTGGCCTGGAGAGATGACGTTCACTGCGCACACGGCTCAAAGATGGATGGATGGACATGGAGCGAGCGGCGGGGCGGGGCGGACACCCCGCCTTGGATCCGACTCAAATCGAGCTACCCTATACCATCAGATGCAGAAGTCACAAGGACAGAGTTTGAGGCACAATTCTGAGTCGCATTGAGTAAATAAGTAATAAAAGCATGTATCACCATATCGAGATGTGTTTTTTTCCAATGATTCAGTAGTTTTCCAAGGCCAATCCAGCCCATTTTCGGCATGTTGTTGGAATTGTCGCATTCTATAGTAAAAGGACCCACAGAAAGTAAACAAACATTCCTGTCAACCAGAAAAGACCCTGACCTGGCCTAGCACAACCGCTGGTTCCCGCTTATAGTTCAGGGATTTTTATCACGGATGTCAAATTTAATGCTATTATTCAGTTTGTGGTACTCGGGAAGAACTTGTGACTTGAGCAAAGATTTGAACCATCTCTGGCTTGTGAGACATGCTATTACTCGCCACGGGAGAAGCTCATTAGATTGCAATAGCCAAGCTCCAGGACAGGGCGACACGGCACTTCAGTGTCATTCATGAAATGTGATTGGTCTTGGTGCTTTGTCAATGTCTAACTTTGATCTACACCTTTAAGCATGTTCCAACGTCTCGAGTTAACATCTGGAGGCTCAATACATAATAATGGCGGTTATACATACAATAATGAATATTGACAATAGTATGGAGTAAAATCAACCTCATTTTAGGCTCTTGTTGATCCTTGGCACTCTCATTTACAAAAGGTAGATCGTGGTGGCCCGTGGTTCGACAATGATCTTTAAGACCAAACGTAAATGGAATCACCACCAGTGAATCAACAATTGAACAATGATAGCCCACAGCAACGAGAATCATCCGCCTCAAAGCCAATAAAGTCTCAATTGTTTACTCTCACCTGTCATTGACAGGCCATCACTGCTTGCCAGCTGCCAACAGTGGACCCTGAAAGCGGTGACCATATGTGACCCACAATTATCTGGTGCCACAGACGCGTCTGGAGCTTCAAGCCCAAAGCGCCTCCATCTTCGCAGCCCACATCGAAATTCATTCGCAAAACAAAACAAACTCTCAACCTTTTTGCGCACCAGCACTTGACTTCACCCACGAACTCTTCACGAACTCGACTGCTACTTCGCAAAAACTTTCTACACAATATTCAGCTTCTTCAAGCTTTATTTTCACCTTTTCGCATCCTCTTCGCAACGTTACCCCGTATCGCGGGAGGTTTGTTTACTTTAAACCTTCTCTTCCGCGCTGCATCTTCGCGATGGCGGCTGCGGATGTCCCCAAATGGGGCTTTGGGCAAGAGCCCATGCAAATGTAAGTATCTATCCTGATCTTGAAGCTATCATGTCGTCTCTTGAAAATGCTGACATTTTATTTACAGTAAACCCGTTGCGGCTGACTTCATACCCCATTTCGCGACCACTGGCGACACTCGTGTCGACGCAGGCAAGACGTAAGTTTGCTCGACCGTTGAACTCAAATTAACCTCACTAACGGTTCTACAGATTCTTGAACTTCGGCAACTTTGCGTTCAAGCAGTCTCTCACCCGACCGCCCGCATGGGAACGTGTTCCTACACATTCGCTTGCTGCTCCCAGCTCGAACCGACAGATCATGCGCCGAGTTACAATCTCCAACGAACGCCAGCCTGCTGCACCTTTCGTCATCTTCCCAAACGTCTCCGCTGTTCCTGTTCCTACTCGTGAGGAAATCGGTTTCAACCATCATCTTCCCCGCAAAGTCCAGCGACGACCATCCTACGAACATGTCTCTAGAGAAGCAGTGTTCGAGGACATGTTGATGTTCTCCCATGCACAGCACATGCACAATCTCATGACGGCTAAGGGTAAGCAACTTCTGAACATTTGCGCTGATCTTCACTGACACTTCATCTAGTCGACGTCGTGAACAACCTTATCGAGACTCAATCTGGTCCTACACTCGAAGATATGCAAGCTGTTCGCCGAGGAATTCCACAAATCGTTCCGCTCAAGCGACCTGCCAAATTTATCAGTACCGATACCGCCGATGCAGACAGCTCTCCCGTTTCCCTGGTCCCTGCCAGAGGTAACCGATTGACACTGTACAATGATATGCTTCTTCAGATCCAGGCTGCCAACCGATCAGGAATGGAGTCTGTCGATCTCAGCACTGCGTCTATCACAGATGTCTCTACCGCACTGCGGAACAGTCGCCGGGACCCTCGAAAGCGCCTCGCTGCCCTTGGCGAGCCCGACCTCTCCATCATCATGGATGAGGATGAGCCTGAGAGTCCCACCGTCGTTCGTGAACCTGTTCTCTCTGCCGAGACCCGTTCTCCCAAGAAGCGACTTGCTCGTCTCACAAGCGAGGTCATCAAGAAGGGCGTTCTGCGTCTTTCTGGCGGCTTTACCAAACTTCTCCCAGGTTCTCCCAGCAAGACTCCTGGTTCTCCTACCAAGTCGAAGCGCGGTTCCTCACCTCCCGCTCAGTCTTCCAGCCCCGTCTATGGATCTACTGCTACTGCCGCCGCCAAGGACAACATGTCCACTGAGTCCGTCGCTGACTCTCCCATCCGTCCTGGTCGAACTTTCCGAGTGCCGTCCGAGTGTGATTCATCTTCTTTCGAAGATACGGGTCTCCCAGAGACCCCTAACAAGGCGTCTTCGCCTGTCCTCAACTACTCGCGACCCATCGCTCCCACTCCTTCTCAGTGGAACCGACCTGAGCCCTCAACTCCCTCCACTCCTGCTACCCAGAGCGCTCCCGTCAACCCTGTCACCCCTATGCAGACCGACAGCCCCATCGGTCTCGCTGCCCTTCTTCCTGCCATCCTCCCTCCCTCTACCCCTCAGCCGCGAGGCTGCACACTCGAAGTCCCCAGCCAAGGCGACAGTGTGTCTTTCGACTTCGGAAAGGAGTCCCCCTTCCGTAGCTCTCTTTCTTGGATGGCTCCTCCTGTTCTGGCCACTGAGCCCAAGCGTATCAAGAACGCTAACCAGGCGCGCCGTCGCCAGAGCGAACCTCTGCTCCGCAAGTTCCTCGACACCCAAGCTCGTCGTCGCTCGACTTCTCCCCGAAAGGTCCAATTCCAACAGGAGGGGCTCTTCCACGATGTCATTTCTATAACCTCACTGTTTGACATCACCTACGAATCCCCCGCGAAGGCCGCTGTCACCGATGCAGCCAATGAGACTTCTGGTCTCGATTCTACTACCTCTCCACCCAACGAGCCTGCAGCTGATAGCGCGGCCGATGAAACCTCTCACCCTAACGACACGGCTCCCACTTCTCCCAGGCCTGCAGCTGATAGCGCGGCCGAGCACGCTCTTCCTCTTGACACTATCATGGAGGAGAGTGTTGCTAACGAGGCTGACCCCATTGAGGCAGCCAAACCTACCGAAGGCGAGCCTGACTTGGGTTATGCCAGTGTTCTCACTGAGAACCTATGGTTACGAGACCTTAACTCTTCACCGGCCGCAGCTCCCACCAACCAACATGACGAGGAACTCACCACCGTCCAGTCACCCACTACTGTTGCCGAGTCACCTGCCACCCAACCCCCCACTGCTTCTGACCAAGGTGTCGTCAACATCGACGTCCGCCAGAATCCCGATATTTTCGGGACGCAAATATCCTCACCTCCAGCCCCCGCTCCTATCCAGAACCTTTCTCGCATGGCCGATGACGCCTGCAATGGCCACACTAAGGTCGTGGTCACTGAGGAAAACGGTAGACTCTTCGTCCGATTTAAGCTGTCGGCCAGATATGCCTACATGTTCCCTGCAAGCCAAGGGCTCAATGATTCTCTCTCGTTCTCTCCATCCGTCGACATTTCTACACCCAGACCCCGACCTGTCGACTCTACCATGCAGACTCCTGATCTCAGCAGCTTCGGTCACTTTACCAGCCCATCTCCAGGCGCACTCCATACCCCCGAACCTCAATCCACCGAGTCTCTCCTTAAGACACCTGATATCAGCGGTGTCGGTGTTATCGACCGCCCCTCCCCCGGTGGATACGATACACCTGAACTTCCTCAAGATGACAACACTATTGTCTTTGGCGAGCCTGCTACAACTGGCCGACCTTCTTCTATCCGACGCACTCCTCGCCGTCAAAGTGAGATGACCCCCTTAAAGCGTGCTACAAGAAACGCAATGGGTATCTCGAATGGGCCTGCCACACCTCAATTCTCGACACCGGTCGCGGATGCTGGCGATCAGACATTGATAATGTCCTGGGACGACGCAGAAACACCTGGTCAGCAAGGTGACACTCCCCCAGTTGTCCCTGCCCAAGAGGCAGAAGCCGCGGACAATGGTCAGCAGGACTTGGACAGCCCAGGGCGCGACTACTTGCGCGATTTCATAAAGCGTCATCGACAAACCACTGCACCCTCTACTACTCCTGCCATAAACACCACCAGCACCAGCACCACCACCCTCACACCCGCCGCCGAAATTACCCCTGCCGTCAAGACTACTGAGGCTGGGTCTCCCATCGCCTCGGCTACAAAACGCCAGCCTCTCGGGGCACGAAGCCCTAACAGGGGTAGCCCGATGAAGGCCAAACGAAAGCACGACGGTGAAGTCGATAACGAGCACAAGTTACCCGCCAAAAAGGCGAAGGTTGACGAGGCGGCGGGTGAGGCAGCAGGCTCGATCCGCAAGGTCACTCGAAAGACCAAGGCTAAGCGCCAGAAGGCAGAGTTGGCCATCGACATGACGGATCTTCCCTCTGCCTCCACCACCACCACCACTGCCACTACCTCAGACACTCCCACCGGCAAGCAGGTTGACGAGCTTGCCACCACCACACCAGTCACCCGCCGATCGTCTCGGCTCCGAAGTCAAGACCATCCAAGCAGCGCCCCCAAATCCTCACTCCCTACGCCCATCAAGCTCGGCCGAGCTGGTGCTGGCCGCAGCCTCCCAAAGAAGGCTCGCAGTGAGGAGGACGAGTTGGCTCGCAAGACAAGGGCCAACACCAAGCGTAACATGGGTAAGGCCGAGTTACCTGCTGAGGTCCTCGTTAGACTCGCGGACCAGGCAGAGAAGAACTCAGACCATAGTCAGGAGTCGGAGAGGTCCGCCAGTGGTCGACGTGTGGAGTGGAACCAGCCCCTGGAGAAGGTGCAGGGAGAGGAGCCCAAGAAAGGGCGGGCCAAGGACAAGGCCACACAAGGACAGACGGGCATCTCGAAGCCCAAGGCGAAGCGGGCCACCAAGGTCGCAGCGGATCTGGGCATGGTGGCCAATGGCACACCCGCCAAACCCCAGCGTGTGACGCGTTCCAGCGCACGCTCTGGGGTTTGAGCACCCAGAAGTCCTCCAACAGATGGAGACGGCTGCTTTGGTGGTTGGCGGCTTTGCTTTTGTTTTACGATTTTTTGTTTTCGACATACGGCGCCGGCACCAGTTGGTGCACAAGGACGAGGACGAGGACAAGGACAACGGCAGCTTTCTTTCTGGCGGCGTTTGGGAGGGAGGGCTCCCGACGCCTTTTGTGCGAGTTTTCACGAGTGCATGAAGCATTGCGAGGCGTTGGTGGTTGCGCAAAGATACCACATTTTGGAAGTTTTTGGGACCTGTTTTCGGTGGACGACGCAGGTCGGTGTACGGGTTTAAAGTCCTCGGGATGAGGCTGGAAAACATAGATGCCCGGGATGGGCCATGGTACGAGAATAAGACTTGATTCACAGATGATATTGCCTTGCTCTGTGATTTGCCAGATGTGATTTATTGAAGACTATGATCTGTCGGAGAGGATTGGGTTTACTGTCGGTACATCTTATGATCATTGCTTATGAGTCTAACTCTACTAACCACACGTAGGGATAGTTTAAGTTACGGTATTGAGACATCAATGAACAAGCACTCCTCAATAAGCGATCTATTGCGAACTCTATAGTCAGGTGGGAATAATTCATAATTCATAATTTATATCTATCTAATTGGCAAACCCTAAGTCTTTATTTACGATAGCGACAGTATTAATCGGCAGTAATGATGTCAAAACGTCAATGCTAAGATAGGACGGAGACGACAGCCTCATCGAATGTTGTGTTAGATCGTGATCTTGAGCGATTTCATGATTGGGGCATCAGCTGCCTTAGTTATAACGAGCTTCACTGGCAAAGCAAGGGTAGTTTCGGCGTGTCGAGACATGAAGTCTCGCCAGCTGCTTCGGTGGCAGCGGCCTTCGCAGGGGATTCAACGGCAATGTCAAACAGCGAGGTGATAGAAAAGTCATTAGGATCACTCTTCTCTATGATGGTGTCAAGAGGAATACTGTGCTCGGCCGCGCTTGAAGCTACTAGCTTTAGGGGGATGACGGTATCGCTCGTCAGCTGTGGTGATAGGTGGCTTTGGCGATCGACTGCTTGGACTCGTTTGTATATATGGATTGCATTCTTTTTCCGTCGGTGATGTGAGGGACAACACTGCTCATCATCCGAAGATGATCAGGTTTGAGAGGCTTTGTGAGAAGAATGGCGAGAACCTCCAGAAGGCGGGCAACAGCCCAAGCCTTAAGAGCGATCTTGTATCCGGCCAAACCGACCATGCTTCTGGTGTTGACATGGATGCTGGAACTTATCCCGGGCCAGGTATATAAGTGAGTCTAGTTGCCTGAAGGGTTTAGTGATTAGGTATGAATCAAATCACTGGCTGAATCCCAGGCGTTGTTGCAACCTGGATGTAGCTGATACCGCCCAGTATAAAGGACTTGCACCTTGCTCCAATACCCTGAATCGATGTTCCGCCCACTGCGATTCTTGTGGACTGTTGTAGATTTTGAACATCTTCTTAATTGCCTTTTCTACGTCATGGCTCCACAGCGTTGGTGATGGCCCCTGACTCTGAGTTGGATGCCACCTCTTCAAGGGGCACTGCTGAGACTTCGTGATTGAAGCATAGATAAGCTATATACCTGCTGGTTGAGACCATCGACAAACTCATAAAACGGCTGAGTGTGATAGAGGGAAGACATTTCAGACAGGCAGTCTCGCCACCGAGGTCCAGTTGGGTGCAATGAGGCTGTACATGACCCCCAAGGAGCTGGCAACAAGTCGCGGCAGAACCAGCTCGGCTAGAGGTCCTGGAGATGGGTGGCCAGGCTCCACCTCGATTATCATATATATCTAGATCTTATATTAGTAGAGTACTATCTTCAGTAGATAAGACTCACTTTATAGTATAGAAGATTGCCTTTGCTATGGAACGGCTGGTGTTGGGGTTCAGACAGCTTGGAGATTTGCCACCGAGTCTATTCTCCTAACTTTATAATATCGTTTTCGTTCTTCTTGGGTGGGTTCTTCCAGCCAGACTTGCAATTTGGCGACCTTTCAACCGAACGCTGCCCTGGCTACATTCTCTCCTCGCTAATGGAGATGACGTCCCATGACATCTTTCGGCGCTCGTGTTGTTCATTGAACCAACGATAGAGACGATTCAGACTGATGTTCCATGGCATCAAGTACAGCGAAGTTGTCAGGCTCAGCCTGGTTCACAGACAAATGGTGTAGGCAGTGCCCTGCTTGACGAATGTATCTGATGTCGACTGTTGACGTTACTGAATGTTGTCTGTAGACTTACATATAACAATGTTGAACTCTGTACGCGGTATCTGACGTTGTTCTAGTAGGGACTCGACTTGCAAAGAAGACACCTTGGTGGCTGTGACATCGAATCTGCCAAAGCAGGCAGGCTCTGACAGTCGACCCGATGACAAGAAGCAGTTTGTTCTCAAAGTGAACTCGTCGTCCACAGCTACGCAGGGATGAATAATATTTAATGACCATGTCGGACTTGGAAGAGTATGTCTATTGATGGCGATGAACATTTCACCACAGTACGGGGCGAGTTCTCAAGCTTTGCTCAGCTGTTTATCTGTTAGACTTGGTGTCTGGACCAGGGGAGAGTTGGTGCTTACGAGGTGGAGGACCTGATCGCTGACGATCTCCCCGATAAGTCTTGGATGATATATATATATAATCCAGGAAAAGGAATCGACATCAGGATCATATAAGTGTTATACTATAGCAGGATTATACTATAGAGTTGAGTAGTTGAGAAAGTTCAAGTCTTTCATCGGTCTCAAGAGCTCTATTTATACTTTTTCCAGCTCAGTTTGCATCTAGGCAGCCTCTTTACAATATCTCTTCCCCATATCATTCACATCATTCACATCACCACCAAACTCCAAATATCGCCATCACCAAGCATCACCAAACCCAATCCTCATCTTCACATCCATCCAAACTCCAAAAAGGTTGTCAAACCCCCTCAATACCCAACAAGGTTTTCTTTCCCCCTCCACGCGTCCCATGAGTCTAAATAAAGCACACATCCCCCGATGTGAATGCACATACCCGTTTCAATCTCACACAACCTCTTCTCTCCCCACCAAATACTCACCACAAATACAATACAGACAGAAAAACCCCTCACGGAAACCCGCATCATAGTGAAACACCAGATCTGCTGTCAAAACCACGGCTCATCCTTCCCTTCCCCGACGCCATCAAACGAAACAAAAAGCCCCCTCCCTACAAACTTCTGTGCTCACACTGCCTTGACTTTGACTTTGTGTACCCATCTGTATCACGTTGGCGTCAACGCGTTATCCCTGTTTGTCACATCCGCAAATAAATTCTTTTTAGAATAAAACTGTATCTAGTGTCGTCATCACTCCAAACCAAACATCCAATAACAATCTTTAAAAACCCGTATTTTTTTTAATTTTTTTTTTACAAACTCGTGTTGCTGAAAGAGAAGGGGGGGCGTCAATCAGCCATCGTCGCTTGTGGAGGGTCGCGTCGTGCCGCGCTGTGTATCACGACATCGTCAAGTTGCAGTCTAGAGTAGAGTGCTTACCAAGAAAGACCAAACGATTCGATTCGATTGATGAATTGTTTGTGGCGCTTCGCTTGGATGACCCGTGTTTGGACCACGACTTCAAGGCATATTCCACGACATGGGCTGTCAGTCACAGCTGAGACACACGCAAAAAAGTTAATTTAATTCTTTTTTATTATTCTTTTTGCTTTGCTTCAATCATTATCTCCTCGTCACCAAGGTTTGTTTACCAAGGCCGGAGAGCTGTCCAAGTTTCGACAGCCATTAATATCGTCCCCTCACCCTCCGCCAGTTCCAAACCAAATACACCAAATAGTAATCCCCCATGATACATACACATGATTGTACACATTCATCCCCTTTGTGACATGTTTCTCCCTGATTTCAAATCCATACAATCAAACCCTTTACTTGCGTCTGCAATGTCCGGGGATAAATGTTTGTAATGTGCGCTGTGCTGTCTTGTGTTTGTGCATTGCATCCTTGTGTCAGGTTGCCATGCCGTGCACTCCAGTTTCATGGCGGGGAAAGCAAATGTAAAAGTAAAAAAAGGCAAAATCCAACTCCTGCAAGCTAGAGCTGCGTCGCTTCGCTGTACATGCTCTGCTCTGCTCTGCTCGCTGTTCTTTGTTTTTGTACCCCAGGTCCAGGTTCCGTCTAAACTTTTTCGACTTCTCGATTCGCTTTGCTTTTCGAATATCCAGGTTCCCTCTGTTCAACGCCCCGCACTTCCCATTATATACACTTCTAAACAATAAACAATAATGTGCAAGCCTTCTCCCCACGGAGAAGGCCAAGGTCGTATGTTGTGCCGTCGTGGCTATATCGGGATCAAATGTCCCAAAAAAATGAAAGGAATGACATGAGTCGGGGTATCTCTGTAAAAAGAATAGTGCAAAATAGGACATGAAAGAAGTAGAAACGCCAGCAACCCCATGATAGCTGGCTTTATCATCCAACGACTTCTAGTTTGGTCTAGTCGTCATCGTCGTGGCAGTCATTAAATTTGGTCGTTGATCCGTGATCCAGTTCGTGTTTGCTGGAGGGGACCATTATTTTCGTAGGCCGACTTTGCCTGCGAGGTTCTTCCAGAATCGTGCTCCCTTGCGCTCTTCGCTGTGCGTCCGTAGCATCACCTCGTCTCGTTGCATGGGTCCTACAATGTCTTCGTCGCCTCGGGAGGGGAACTTGCCATCCGCACCCACCAGTCGGGGAATTGCGCTGGGAAGTCCATCCTCCAGGCGTTTCCATTGCATACCCGCAAAGACATCGTCCATAGGAGGTGGTCGACCAAGGATGGAGCCACCGCTATTGGCCCGTGATCGTCCGCGGCCACGGCTGCGGCTTCGTGAGGCGCTTGTCGAACCAGGAGCAGAGCTGGTAGCTTGCACAATCTCCGACATGAGTCCATCGTGGGTTGACCTCCATCGCTTCTCGATATCGGCCCATTTGGCCTCAGTAAGGCCGTAGATCTTGCTGGTTTCGCCGTAGTTCTCACCCGTGCGCACCAAGTGCTTGGTGTAGTTACATCGTGCTGTGTCCCAATCGTTACGCAACTGTTGAAGGGCCTCCATGTTCACAGTCTCGGGTTGATAAGGCTGCGGTGTGATGGTGAAGTTGGCATGACCAAGGCGATCCGACCACTCATCGTGCTCCTGCAGGATCGAAGGGAGAGGGATCGGAACCTCAGGACTGTTGGAACCAAATCGGAAGGACGACACTGAAGGCTTCGTGCTCAGAGAGGGTCTAGGGAACTGTGTCGCAGAAGGGACCGGTGACGGTACTTCGGTAGTCGAAGAGGGTGGTGCAATGGTCGGCGATTGCAGAGGTGACTCAGGCGGTGGGCCGCTCAATGGGCTGGTCATCAAAGGAGGCAGTAGAGGGGTGGTGGCCAGTCCTCGTTCTCGCTCAAGGTCAGCTTGCTCAACAAGAGCCTGCGCCTTCTCTATGTCGATAGGCGCAGGCAAGTTGATGCTCTCAGTGCTGCCATAGTAGGATACTGCCGGGGTGGGAAGTCCAGTGTTTTCCAACATGCGCTCCTGTCCAGGTCGGCTGGGTGCAGACATGGACGACGATCGACTTGAAGGGCCTCCAGATAGCACAACGCTCTCCAAGCTGAGTTCGGTGCTAGGTGAGAGCATCGGGTTGCCCCTGCGGGTGTTGGGGTTCCAGCGCGTGAGACTAGGGAAACGGGCACCAATTCGTGACGTTAGTCCAGCAAAGGGTGACTCGCTACCGGATCGCTTCTTGCGGGATCGCTCGTCCATGGGGGTGTCACCGTCACTCAAGAAATCCATGTCGTAGTCGATATCGTAATCGCGAACAATGTTTCCATGGAACATGACATCTTCGGAACTATTTCGGGGCTCGCACAGGTTGTCGCCTACACGGGAAGGGTATGGGTTAGTAACTCCACGATCACCAAGACGAAGACGGCAGGCCAAGCACGATTTCCCGGAAGATACGACAGCCTGGCCAGGCGGACAAGACATACACAAACAGTCATAGAGACTAAACTGGTCCGAAGGGGCAAGACTATCACGGTTGTTGTTCTCTGTGTTGTCTGTGACGGTGTTGTGTTCAGGTTCCAAAGGCTCTTCTTGAACATCGGGCAATGACCGCATTGGGGGTTTTGTGTGGACCGATTGTGTGGGCGAAGGAGTCTCGTTCAATTGCGGTGGAAGATCAAGAGAAGAAGTCGAGCTCGACATTCGGAAGTGACCCTTTCCAGGGGAGAAAGTCGGGGTGATTGGCGAAGTAATATCGGAGGAGGACGAGTTTGTTGTGTAGTAGACGTAGGAGAGGTCGGTCTCGGGGCTAACTTGCACCTCCCACTTACGGCGCTCCTCTACCAACTGCGGGAGAAGCAGCGGCTTGAGCCTTGGCGACATGATGTCGGCCGGTACGGTCGAGGCCGTTATGATTGCGAAGTTGTCGAAAAGACGAACGACTACTGCCTCTGTTGTATATGGTGTTGTTTTTGTTTTGGTGTTGGGGAGAAAAACAGAAGAAGAGGAAAACAAAAAGTTGGAGGGATGCTTCGGGAGGTGGATGTTGATAGAGGCAGTGACACAGCAGCCAAGTTGGGTTAGCTTCGTGCAGTGTCTGGTCTCTAAGAGCTAAGGTAGTGTTGTCGCTGTCTGTCTGTCGGGCCAAGTGGCGGCGGATCCGGGGACCGGGGGTGCTTCTTTTTTCCCCACTGAGACCGGGGTGGGATTCTGGGAGGGTACTGGGAACGACAGGATGTGGATGTGGATGGGTGAAGTGGGTGAACAAGACAAGGGTCAGAGCAAGGCGGGTCTCTCAAGCCCAAGCCTGAACAGACTCTTGGCCTCTCTCCTCGCAACTTTTTTCTTCTCTCTGTCTGAGTGGAACAAAAAATGGTGGGGTACCGTTGGGTAGGAGTCAACGAGGAAACGGTTCCCGATGGTGGATTTTTTTCTTGCTCCAAGTGGGCTGTGTCCGACAGAGACTACCTTAGGGCGGGGACTGACTCTGGTGGTTGACTCTGACTCTTGTTTTCTTGTTGACGTTTGGGGTGGTCGGGTCGGTTCAAGAAAAACAAACGTTTTGGTTGCTGGTTGCTTTTTTTACTGTAGCTCACCGTTTGAGCGGTGCTGGTTGGTTGTCCTCGTGAGGGCGGGTGTGTGACTCGTAACAAGTGATATCGATGTTTGACAGTATCAGATGTATTCAATGACGACAGATAGTCGACAATGTTGGTAGAGTTGTTGTTTGATCAAGCAAAGAGTCGTTGGAGGAAAGAAGAAATTATCCGGGCATGACGGTCGTTTATCAAAGGTGGGAGGAGGTTATGCATGGGGTGATTGACTGCTGATGAGTTCTCGGACGTCTGCTTGTCTGTATGCGAGCGACTCTGACTGTCTGGGCGGCGGCTGGGCAGGGCTGGGACCACTACGCGATAGAGCACAGCACAGCACAACACAACACAGAGCAATGACAGGGCCTTGCGAGTGTAGTCAGTGGATGTAACTGAGAACAAGCGCTCGCTCGTCCACGTGTTATTGAACCGAGGATTGGGCGCGACTACATATGAGTGTTGGCTATCTACTCAGAACCGCGGCTGTATCTTATGTGATAAGGTGTTATCGTGGTGTTGTGCTCTATGTATAAAATATGCGTATGTAATGTAATGTAAATGTACGTCTGTCTAGTAGAGGGTGAGGTGATGCTATGTGGTGGACTGGATGACCGGTGAGGTGGCTGCCATCTTCGGTACAGAGTCCTTCCGTTGTGCCTCTTTTCAATGTCCCCTCTTCAACTGCATAATGGAGTCTGTAATGACAGGCGGTGATGGATTAACCGTACCCGACGTTGCGTTCTCGACATGCAGTGTAGTCGAAGCTGCGTATACCTCTTGTTCGACTGCAGGGATAAGAGGTTGGCTGACGTTCAGGCTCTGGGGCACGGAAGCGGGGGAAGAGCCCTGACGAAACGCTGCTGTGTCTCTTCTCGCGGCTGGTGTTAATTGTTTCTTCTGCTGCAACTCTTGACAAGGGTTCAAACTGTGACGTGGGAAATAAGGTGATGAGGAGATGAATCCAAGAAATTCACTGGTTCAGTGACTGGCAGTTGTTCAAAACCTGCTTGTCTGCAGTGAGACCGTACAGCAGCTTACAGTGGACGCTTACAGCACGTACAGGCCCAGATTTTGATTTTTCTATACGGAGGGCTTCAGGCAAGTGGGGCCATGTTTCCGCGGTGGACTTCCAGTGGGAGGAGGTTGGGTCCAAAAGCACAGAGTTTCAATGAAACAGTAAGGGCTTACAGTGGCTGGGTTTATTCAGAGCGAGAGAGCCACGATGCGCAAGGGGAATTGCCCGTGCGCTGACGAGGCTGTCCGTGTTGTTTACATGATCGACACAAACGGCAACCCGAAACAATGACATTGATATTGATATTGACATTGTAGACAGACGAAACAAAGGCTGCAGAACATGCACGGGCAAAGAAAGCCTAAACTTGACTTTGACCTAACTTTGAGTCAGACGCCAACTGCAATAGCAGGACTGTACGAACGATATTCGATTGGGGGAACCGCATGGACCCTGAAAGAGAAAACAAACCAGAGCAGCAAACCTAGGATCCATCCATGACCGAGAGACTTTGGTAGTTGGATTACAGGGGTCTTCCCTCGACAATTGCTAATCGATGATGGTGTAAAGTCAATTCAATTTTGTGTTTGTATAAGCATTTTATACACAAACATAATTCTCTATTGCCGTCTCTTTATGCAATTCACTAACAAGACACAATCAATTTTATACTTCTGTGGCTCAAACGTTGGAAACCCGTTTTGTGTAACTCCCGAAATGGTAAGAACTGGAATGCATTCCCCGAAAGCAAGCTCCCAGCTTCGCTTTCACATGGAAGCAAACCAAGCTCTAGCTCCCCCTCTTGCCATTGGATGCAAAGATCATCACTTTGAAGTTTTTGGTTTGTTTGTTTTACCCGCATTCCAATTCATTGACCTCACCATTTTTGCCGATCACGTTTCTTTTTGCTAGCACTCAATCCTACGCTCATTCTCTCCAAATCTCCTCATTCAACCTTTCGTTCCGCTTTGGGCCTGGACCCAGCTCTTCGAAAGTCTGGTTCCCTGTCAGCCAGGGTTCTCAATAGGCGATGAGCATCAAGAAGCCGGCGACATGGGTTAAGCAGCTTAGATAGGGAAAGTTTGGAGGAGTCAGCAGGGGGTACGTAGCCTTGCACTGAAGCATCGTATCTGGGCTGGGCTGGCACCGCCTCTCTGGGTCAACCTCGATTCTGTCATGACCCTTCTCTGTCCATCCTTGCCCCGGATTCTCATGGGATCAGTGAGTTTTAGAAGACCGGACTTGCGGTATGGTAATTGCCGTTGGGTTTGCACTTCACCGTTATCTCTGACTCTAGGCTCTTTCGCTAGACCAGGCGACTTGTGCCGTTGTGGAAACCTGGCTTTGGAAGCGGAAATCCAGCCCGAACATTTCTCTGCTGACGGGAGCTTCCAATTTTCGCTCTTGATCCCGCCACCAATAAACTCAAACCAGCAACCGAATTGCCAAACCATTGACCGAAGCCGCTGACGGCACAACTCAACTCTATGTGCGAAAAGAAGAAGAAAAAAGTAACCACCTTTGTCTTTTTTCCCTTGGCACCGGCTGAATTAACTTGTTGAGCTTTCTGGCTATGCAATATTACGTCGCTATTCACAGCTTCAATGGAAGAAGCCATTTTGTCGATCACTTCTCCCTTTGAGATAGAGACTGAGCGTTGGACTTGTTTCCGCGAGACAACTGGGTCTTCCTGTTTCCCCGTCCTCGCAATTCCACCCGTTCTGTTTCCAGCTCATGACTTGGGCCTCAACTGACCGTTTGGCTGAGTTGACCGCCTACAGTCAACTACCGGTCAACCGCGGGCCATTTCATCAGAGCGAGGACGGATGTTTCCGATACACTTGATTTGCTTCTTTTTGATGGGCGACAGAGAGTCATTCACAGTCGCCTTGTTTGAGGCCATTGCATCGTTCCGCGCCCCTCCAAAAGACCGCCTTCTCGCCTAGTGGTTGGCCGTCGTCCTGCTCCAAGACCCTTGACAATATTCGAGATGGAGTGACACATCGAGTGAATGCATCGAGATACATCGATACAATACAGTCGCAACTCGCGATTACTCTACCTTGTCATTGACAAGCAAGGCCTTCCATGTCTTTCATTTCTTTGCTTTGTCATGTCATGTCTTCAATTTTGCATCCTGTCGCGCGACAGACTCGTGGCCAACGGGGCACGCCTACCCATCGCGGCATAGCGTCCGCAGTCCAAGCTTTCCAGCGGAAGGGAAGCGACGCCGATGGTGCGCCGGGATCCCATGGAACAACATGGAAGGCCCTCTAGCCTCGCCGGCGGGTCTCGGTGGCTACAAAGCTTGACACCGAGAGGCTGCTTGGAGCCGCCAAAGCCACGCCAACTTGCACCGGCGTCCAGCGTTCCGGGAACAGTTGTTTGATGAAAAGCTTAACCCTCAACTGCTCATTTTACTTGTCTCCAGCCATGTCTGTGACTGTCGATCTACCAGGTCCCTAACCAGTCGTCTTTCATCGGTCAAAATCGTGATCTCCAAGTGTTGATCGCCCGGGGAAGAGGCAAGCAATTCGTGGAGAGCGTCGGAGAATTAACAAATCTGCTCGTATTGAAGCAATTACATGCCCCATCGGCATAAATTTACGTTTTGAAGCATCACCGTTCTCGGATGAATACACCGGTTGTATCCTCTTCTACCGACCAGCACGCAAGATGTTGATACGTACTGCCAGTTGTCGGGCGCGTTGCCAGACCGTTAGCCATCCTCCAGCAGCCACGATGACCCTGAGCCCCGGGTTGAAAGCCCTGTTGCATTAGCCTCACCACGGTACCTGGGCCGACATTGGAAGGAAGTCTTTGGAGGCTGACCGTTGTGCCCGCGGAAGGTTTCAAGGATTCCGCCCTTGCGCTTGTGTTCCTTGTCATTGGGACCTTTCAACAATGGACATGGGTGTTGAGAGGCTCCAATCAAGGCTTTACACACAATCAAAGACTTCTTGATGGTTCAGACCTGCCGGTTTTGCTCGCTTGCATTTGACATTGATAACGATTGCGCCATGGTGAACAAAGTTACAAATCCAACACCGAGACTTTAGCTTCATCCTTGTATGGACATGGGCGCTATAATGCGCGAATTGCTGTGATAGACTCAGCCCCAGTGGCGCTACTATCAAGTCTTGTTGAACTCGTTTAACATCAGAAGACATCGCTTGGAAGTGTCTGTTTGAGTTTACACTTAATAGTTCGTTGAGCTGTCAGATACGCGTGCAAACCATGTGGCAGAGGAAGACGGAAAGGTCACTGTTGAGAGG